ACCATTTATTATGTGCTTTAAGAAAGCTCTTCAAACTGTGCCTGTAAGGCCACACCTGGGAAGACTGCTGTGTGGCCACAAACACATATTCCTACAGGCCCTGAAAGGAAAGAGCACCCTTCTGGAATCAGAAATTTGGAGCTGTGAGACCATGGCCTGTATTGTGCAAATGCTTCCACCCAACACTTTCCACCAGAGTCCCTATATTTAGGGACTGCCTATATGTGGCTGCCTTTTGTCAATGGAATTTTGTCACATGCTTTATGTGTGTGTTTTAAGCCTGTGCTTAAATGCTTTAATGCTGACAGCAGACAGAAACATCTGAGACAATTACATTTAGGGTCAGAGTCAGAAAATTGTGTTACTGAGTCACAGAAGCACTTGCAAGTGCATTCAAAGATAATCACACGGGATCTCAAACGCTAGCAGCAATATTCCAAGACAGCTTTTTAAGTGAAAAAGTATCCTGATCAGAACAATGTCTGTGAATTAGTTTCACTATTAATCAGTTTATGTTAGTCTATTCTGCTATCATTTTGAAAGAGAACTCAATCTCATTTACACAGAACAATAAGGGCATAATCTAAACTGGGGAGAGTACACAAGACATTTCTCCTAACACGAGAGAAGTACCTGTCTTCGTTTAGCTCCGGACCCACAGTGCTGCAGGATGTATCCCGTATCCTGTATCCTGGGTTCTGGTGTCCAGCGCTCGGCTCGGTGCTTGGGGCAGTGCTCTGCACGCTGCGGGGAAAGAAAGCTTTGTCACCGAGCCTTCCAAGGCCTGGATTTCATCCTTCATTATAGTAATGCCCTGTACCAAAGAAGTCAAATACTAAACCATGTTCTTAAACCTCTTTGTTAAATAGGGTAAAAGACTATGTCCCAAGCAACCACTCAAAATGGATTCTGTTATTATTTCTATATGATTAAGGCATGTGCCTTAAGAGACAACTTGGAGTGGCATAACAGAACTCATTTTGTTGTAATGTCCCTTTTCAATGATGATAACTATATTCACACTAAGGTTGTCTGCCATTACCATTGAGACATCAACACTAATGCTCAACCACACAGGTCACTGAGTATCTATTTTAGTTACTTCCCAACTCGTGACAAAGGCAGAACCCAGGCCCACGATACCATCATTCTGGCCCTAAGGTGTACAGGTCTCAGGTTAACACCTCTCATCTCACCCCACACAACTGCTGATGTTCCTTCTGCATTGCCTCGAAGCCATGGCTTTGGTTGATTGTCACTGCTAATTAACTCTGTACTTTATACCAACAGAACACAAACAGAACACAAAGAGTACAAGACTAGTCCACAACCTGCCAGTGAGTTCGCAAAACAACTTTCTGCCGCTTATTAGAGAGGTCAATAGTACTTGATTTGAAAACAGTTGTTTATATGTTTAGATTCTTAGCAAAAACTAATCAATTTTTACTGATAATGAACTGGTAATTGGTAATTATTGATAATTATTATGTTCTATATTTCCCAGAACTACACCTTCAAGTTTAATTCTGGAAGTCTGGAACTGAAAAAAAAAAAGGCTTTAATATTCCTGTTCATACTGTGCATTAAGACACCACGGGGGCAAACAACAGAAATAAAGTTATGCAAGTACATACATCTTCAGATGAACAGCTCAATAGCACTTTCAGATGTCCCCAGTAGAGCAAAACACCAAGAACAAATAAACAAACAAAAAATATTAATAATTTTTCTTTAACTTCATAGGACAAGTGCTAAATGTTCCTGGAAACCGCGCAATTCTCCGACTGTACCAGATTCCGCACTACTGTGAACTGCCCGTTACCTACCAGCTGCTATTCTGGTTGGATTATTAGGTATTTCCTTTATAGCATTACATTGCTTGCATAGTATCTTTTAGAAAATCTTTTTCCTAGATCTCAGTTTTTGAAGCCCTAACATGATTATAATCACCAAAGTTACCACATACCCCAGAAGTAAGGAAAACAGGCAGATAATTTAGCTGTGAAATAGATTATCTAATTAAAACATCCCTTTATATAATATATTCATCCCTGATTATTTCATTCTAATTGTAGTGGAGGGAAACCTGTACTTCAGATGAAGTGTCGTTAATAAATAAATAAAACCCAGTAACCTTAGATTCCCACCTGTATCAATGTACAGTGACATCAACTTGATTCTGAAATTCAGCTCTTTTAGGCTTTTGTAAACCATCTTTCAGCCAGGATTAGCATCACTTCTGTTGTCAGTGTTGAATTTCAAACATTAAAAGATCCCTTCGTAAGCAATAATAGTGAACTTATTGTAGCAATCAGTTCACTTTTATTGGAAATCTTATTTTAATATAATACTAATTCTGGGTACTTTACCACTGTTGAATACATGTAAAAACAGTTCAGCACCCTGTGCCACGGCAAAGAGGATGAGGTAACCAGATGCAATTCTTGGAGCATTTGGTGCTTAGATTTTAATACAACACCTGAATTAGTTGCAGACGCATTTTGAGCTTGAGTATTATATGCTGCCCTTGATCTCATCATTTACTTCTACTTCATTTCAATTTCCTCATTCTCATTAGCTTTTAATAATTAGTGTTGTATGGCAAGTCCCAAATGTAAACAAAGCCGGCAGTTGGGTGAGCAAGCAGAAATAAAGGAAGCCTACTACAAAGTCACACCGATGGCACTATCACACAGGGCTAAAAAAACACCTTTCTTTACAAACATTTTGGCAGTAAAAATGTCCAGAGGAATCGGTAAAAAAACCTTCTGTTAAAACTCAAAACTTGAGAAGATCATAAAGGAGAAAATTCACAGCCGAGTGCAGAAAGGTACCCACAGGGATGAAGGCTGTTTTGGGAAAGCCCGTGCTCCATCCCTGCCCTGTCCGACTGACCACAGCATCACACACGCCTCAGACAGAAGCGAGATGAATGTATAGTGCTGAGCAAAGAAGATAAACAGCAATAACACCAAAAGACCCGAGATCAGATCTTCAACTCATGCAAATCAGCTTTTCATGTTAATTATACCTTGTATTTCTCTCTCTGAACTCAGACAAGGGCTATGGAACAATTGCTGCACTTGATACTCTTCTCACTGCCATTAAACCAACCAGGACTAAACCCACTGTAGTCCAGTCACACCAAAGCTTAGATTTATTAATTACTCCTCTACTCCACAGCATCATTTATAACTTTTGCTACTACAAAAAATATTACTTGTTCAGCACCCATGCCATTTCCACTCATTAAAAAATAAAACAATGTTCATATATTAGAAGAACATTTCTTTGGATACCATAAGAGACTTACACAACAAACTCTAACCAAAATACATGTGTTTTTTATTGCTCTTCATGCTAGAATTTTGTCCGCATAAACCCCCTTAAAGATGGAGACGGATTTTTGTCTGAGAAGGTAAACCTTGTATCTGCTGTTCCCAATTTTCCTTAAGGTTTTTTTTTTTCCAAAATTAATGTTCTTAAAATATACAATAAACCCCCAGTTATATATACCTACAATTTTAATTTCATGTTAAAGAAATAGAATGTAAGAGTGTGTATTGTAAAACATATAAATCTATCTCCACACAAATGACATCTGATTCCTACAACTTTAAGTAAGTCTGCTATTGATTTCATGTAATTTAAAATATTTAAAATAGATTATTAAATTGGCCACCTGATTATACATAGCCCTCCAAGGAATACAGATACCAGGATGAACTCATTCAGTGTTACCTCGTTTCACAGTTTCACTGAAGGCACCACATGTCTGTGCCCTGCCCCTGCCTGGGGACAGCACTGGTTTAGAAAATGGTGAGGAAACAGGCAATCAAGCTCACTGCAGAGAGCTCACTCCAAATTACAGCATGCTTTGCTCTACCCTAGTGACAAGTTATCTTTGTCAGAGCGATACATTGTCACCTCTGAGCTTTCATCTCCAACTTCCTCTATACATTCCAAAGGATCAACAGACTTAGGGAAACCAAACTAGCTCCTTTCCATAAGGATTTCCCGGCCGCAGTCACCTTCCCAGGAGTGACTCCAGGGCCAGAGGTTACCTGGAAATCTTTAGCACGCCTGGAGATTGAAAGGCTGTGTTTTGATGGCAGAGTTGTACTTAATTAAGCACAACTGGATTTATTTAAAAAAGCGTTCTTCTTGTCCATATTATCTTAGGATATAAATAGAAAGAAAAGTTTAATTAGTTAAGGAAGAAATTTGAGCTAGGTCTCAAATCAAACATTTGATCCATGAAACAGTAACCCAAGTCGTGGTTATTGTCACCTTTTGAATCCTTTATAAGGCAGCGTGGCCAGCCAGAGCCAGCGTTACCACTGTGCCTGCTGCCTCCTCAGCTATTTCACCTTTACCTAGGGGGAAAGTTATAAAGGTGAGCAGTTGACTTGAGATTAATGACATTAAATTACTGTGCTGAGCTGCAACAGTAGTAAGTACAATAACCATTGTTCTAAGATTTTTATTTTAATTGCTGGAATTACATATGGATGGACCTTATCTAGACAAGTATCAGCTTTCTTTTCCTTTCTTATTCTTCAGAGCTGTTGGGGAGAAAACATAAGTAAACCTTCTTGTCTTTCTTTTTGTCCACTGCACGTACTGTTACTTGTATTGCCAGATGCCATGCATTCCAGTAAGGCTAATTATCAGAATAACAGCTACACAGAGTTTAAAAATGTACTGTACTTAAATAGGATGCAGATAAATGAAAAAAAAAAAATGATCATCAGCTTGCAACATCATTTATGTAATCCATCTAATGAAAAAGTATTATTTCAGCACTGCTATTTTTAAGTAAGTACTGTATTAAATCTTTTAATTTGTTTAGGAACAGCAGCAACATTGGTTTGATCAAACAGATTCATGTATCTTTAGAAACCTTGTTAGCCATATAGTATTCTTCGAAACGCAGAAAAGCCAATTTGTTGTAAGATGCATTTGCATTTCATGAACCTCTTTGCAATATACTATTTTGCACAGGTTTAAAATGAGCCTTACAGACATTCTAAGCCCTTCTGATATTGCTGCTGCTCTGCGGGACTGCCAAGGTGAGAAAACAATTAATACTCTCAAAATCTATTGTTATGTGTAACACATGTCAAGTTTAATTCGGTCCCAAAGGAATACTGAACAAGCGCATACTGTAAACAGATTCTGTAATCTCTTTACTCAGCTGCCACAGTGTATTTGTTCATGGCGGGTTTATATTGTCAGTTTGTAACCTATCCCCATGGGATTTTGTTTGATGTTTAGGAGGGCATGGTGCAGAATGGCAAAATTCATTCTTTGACAGGCTTTATCTATCATTCATGTTTAGAACAATTTAAATGTAACAAAGCAGCACCCTCAGACCATTTAGGAACAGTGAACGCAGTGGTCTGGAGTTAATTTATTTATTAATTTATTTTCAGCTCCAGATTCCTTTAGTCCCAAAAAATTCTTTCAGATCAGTGGAATGTCTAAAAAGAGTAGCAGCCAGCTCAAGGAGATCTTCCGGATTCTCGACAATGATCAAAGTGGCTTTATTGAGGAAGATGAGCTCAAGTAAGGATTTTCTGTGTTAACTATTTAGAGGCTATCAAAAAATCAGCACTTTTTACTTTACAGAACTGTCCGGCAAATGTGAGCACAAGTTATGCTAAAAGTTGATAAAACCTTTGGCAGATTCTGAAAGGTGTATTTAAGTAGTTAATCCCTACAGAGAAAATCAAATTAGTAAATACTTATCTTTAATGCTCAGTATAGAAAACAGCAGCTCCCTGGGGCTGGATGTTGGTAGTGGGCAGAAATTGTATCAGGGCTGGACTTACAAAGCAAAAATGCATGTGACTAAGATTTAGCTTGTCAAAAAAATGCAGTGTTGGACTTGCTTGTTGTGGTAATTAACTTATTTACTGATAGCTATCAGTTTGACTATACAGCCAGCATAAAAGAATAATATTCTGTCAAAATCATAATCAAAGTTGTTTTCTTCCTAGGTATTTCCTTCAGAGGTTTGAGTGTGGAGCCAGAGTGCTGACTGCCTCAGAAACCAAGACCTTCTTGGCAACTGCAGACCATGATGGGGATGGTAAAATTGGGGCTGAAGGTATTAAGTTATATACATATATACATACAGAATAAGGCTCCCCAGGACGTGTTGTAAATGATGTGCGATTCTCTTTTATGTTGACAGTACATTAATGCACCTCCATTAATGCACCACCGACACCCTTGCAGCAGCAACCTGTTTAAGGGGCAAAACAGTCCCTGATCTTATAGGTTCATCTCTGCAACTCCTTTTACACGAGCACATCACAAACCCCACTGAGGCTGCCCTGAGGGGTCCTCTCATTGCCACTCACTCGCTAACTTCCAGTTGTTTTAAAAGGAACCACCCCCTATTTCTCCTCCCGCATACTCTGATATAAAGCAGTACGAGCATCACTTGTCACACACTTGTGAAATGAAGAGCACAAGAACCAGCTCTGCACAGAAGAATCGACAGCACACACATGGTCTCATTTACGGCAGTTATCTCCCAGCAGAACTCCACGTGTCAGTGAGATCATTCACAATACCAAGAGCTCGCAGCAGGTAGTTCAGTGTTTGTTGTCCGTACTAAGGAGCACAGCATGGGCTTTGTGCGTGGGCATGGATGCTGCTCATCTTCAGCGGCAGGCTAAGGACCAGAGGGGAAGGGGCAGCTGTTCTAGGAAGCAGCATACTGCACTCACCCTAGGGAAATGCCAGTGTGAGTTAATGGAGCTCAGTGCAGAAAGCTCTGATCTCCTCATTCTGTATTTCTGTGCCCATTTTGAACAGGAAGCACGTTCTCACCAAGAGCTGGCAGCAATGGCACCCTGCCCCAGGAGAGAAACAAGCTGCCTCGGGAGTGTAAAAGGGGCTTAGGGACTGGCACACCAGGACTGTGCTGCTGTGCAGATTCCCCAGCTCCCCACACCAGAGGACAGAACCCTTCTGTTTCTGTCTTTGGAAGGAAATAAACCCAGGTCCTTGGGAAATGTGCCAGAATAAACACAAATGATTTATGAAGCAACCTGTGTTCCAATATAGTCATTCAGGGACAGGACAGATCAGATACTCTAACTCACAGAACCCAAACGTTTAAAAGATCTTCCAAATACCTGTATCTCACCATACAACACAACACCTCAGCATCACACCACATCAAGCTGCACAATGGTTCTGGCTTTAGACTGTGCTCTAAATCAACACTTCTCAACTGCTGACACACTACAAACAGCCAATACGACACTCGGACTCACTTTTCATTCTTTTTATTCAGCTCTTAACTGCTTCTTACTCACATTCCATATTAGCTGTTCCTTCGGTTTTGGCCAAGATCAGTATTATGCAGAGAGACTAAAACTACCTTGAACATTTTATTATTCCTTATCAATGTCAGCAAACACTGCCTTTCCATCTGCTGTCTAGAAGAGGAAGTTTAGACAATGTCTCTCTTCCTTACGCGCTTCTTCTTCCCTGGTCATCTCTCAGGTAATTGTTTTATTTTCATTCCTACTCTAAATCTCTTGATAAACCACTAATCTTTTACTCCTATTCCTCTCATTTTAATAGTTCTACTGTAAATATTCTCTTATCTTCCACAGAATTCCAGGAAATGGTGCAGTCTTAGAGGTTCAAAAGGACCAAACAAGATAGAATTGGGATGAATCTGCACAAGACACCCCAAAACCTTGAAAATCAGGAGTCCCCTATTTATCTTGACAGTGTCTGTTACTTGTTCATTGCCTTAGCAACATAATGAAACACTGATTAATGATTTTTTTTTCATTGTGTGGACCACTTACCATGCTCTAAACTCTACTTTAGCAGACACTTCCCTTAAAAATAGACAATAAAAACTTATCATATACAGTAGCTTGTGTCTGTTTTTCTGATTGCTAAACTGAAACGTGTGAATTCATAAACTAAAAGTGTTAATCCCTCCAATACCTTATCAGAACTTCATATATGGAACATCTTCTGAAATTAGCAGGAGTTCTGTTTACAATAGATCTTTTGGGTTAAGCTTGAACTTCTCAAAACACTCAAATCATAGAATCATAGAATGGTTGGGGTTTTGGAAAGGACCTTAAAGGTCATCGAGTTCCAGCCCCCTGCCCTGGGCAGGGACACCTCACACTAGACCAGTAATTGAAAAATCCCAGTTGGCCTCAAGCATGTTCATCATTGAAGCAAGAGCAGTTAAATAAATTTTTCATTCACTCAGTGTGAAAAAAAGTTCATGGAGTGCCATCCTGCAGGACACTGCAGACAGCTGCACCAGTACAAATTCTATAGTGATTCGTTCCTGAGCACTCATCTCTGCACCTTCTCTGCAGCCATCTACTCTTTGGGGAGCCAAGGACTGGAGAGCCAGCCAAGAAACATCTACTGCTTTTTAAAAAACAACATATATATATTAATCTGCAATTCTTAACAGTTGATGGCTGAAAATAGAATTTTTGTCCCATTTCAAAATGTTTTTAAGCAGCTTAATCTGGCATACAAGTTGTTTGTAAACTGGTATACTCAGTACACATGAGAATTTAATATGGGCATCAAATTTTCCCTTTAATTGTGCAAAAATAATACAAACTGACAAAAAATTAATATTGACTCTTAATAATATTTCTTAACATTACGAAATATGCTCGCCTGGCGTAAGTCACTAGAATATCAATGACTTAAACAGAGCTACTCAGGTTTACTCAAGCCGAGGACCTGACCCATGGAGATTCTCATAGCATAAGATCCATGTCACAGGATATTCAGAAGAAATAAAGTGAAACCAGTCTGATGACAGAAGGGTTTTGGACTAGTTCACATATAAGTAACAAACAAATTGCTCTACATCTCACTTACAATTAAATGTCCTGACCTTGACAACTCATATTACATCAGGCAGTAAAATGCATGTAAAATACAGAATTTTGCAGTTGCTGTCACACTCTGCACTCCAGCTCCTCTCAGTGTCTCAGCCTTTGTGCCACGGACCTGGACAAAGGAAACCCAGAGGCAAAGCACAAACTGTGTTAAGTCTCCACTAAGATGGAGCCCAGTGCTGGAGCAGGTCCCTGGACAGAAGATTCCTGCAGTGCCCTGGCCCACAACAAATTTGTGAGTGAAATTAGAACTTTCTTCATTTCCCAGAAAGAATATACCATAGCTGTCTGCATCTGAAGTTCCTGTAAAACATCTGAACTACAACATGTACTTAGGTCCATTCAGGAGGCAAGCAACAAAAAGACTAGGGAAGCACCTCTTGGCCTGACACGTATCCTTTTAACTGGTTTGTATGTAAAGGTCTTAGAAATATCATGTTGATCATTACTAATTCAAAACATGTCTCAATTGCATGTTTATAGCTTATTATTGTATACAAGTTGTGCACTACAGCACCAAACAGAAAAAATACTACCCACTTACTCAAGATATTTTGAGATCTAACATCCAAAGTATTTCAGTTAAAGGAACCTTTTCATGCATTTCCATCAGGAAAAAAAGTACCTTAAAAACAACTTCTCACTTTCCTGGAATCCTTGAAATGCTGAATCCTACTTTTGAATGCTGTTTTAGAACATGTGATAGTGGTAACTCAAACCGGATTTACTCACTGACAGAGATACCTGGCTGCTCCACAGCCCAAACCAAAACGCCATCAGTAAGCCTCCTTCTAGAGAGACATATGCAGAATTCCAGCTGTCTCAAGCAGGGACTGGTAACTGAGGAGGCTCCTGGGCAGGGCTTTCTGGACTGACAAGCAAGGGTGGAAATAAGGACTGAATTAATAAACTGCATTTACTACAAAGACTTGACAGGGGAGGCAGTATTCAGAAATCAGCTACTACTGACCATCATGCTCACAGATTGCCACAGAAGTTGCAACTAGTTATGTAGTTGTATACTAAAACTACTTATACCTTCTATACTAAAGTTATTCACTAGACACAATAACTATAGAAATATACTTGTGTTCCATTAAAATACAGGTCTCCAGAGTTCCATTTCATGTTCACATTATTTACCCCATAATACCTTGTGCCGTGTTACCCTGTCTGTGAATAGTTAAAATAAAAAAGAATAAACAGCAGCTTTATTCAACCTCTAAGCATAAAACCCACAATGCCTTAAGTATGTCCAACTATGACATAATTCTTCACGTAATTCTCTCTCTCATTTATTGCTGCAATCAGCAGGGACATAATTAACATATCATTACAATTCATTTTCAGAACTGAAATCCTTCTAACTTTCTAGCCCCTTCCTCATCCTCTCTTCACATCTTTTCTTTCACATGTACTATGGATCCAGGCCAGTAACAGTACCTAGACATACCTGTTCAACACATTAAACAAATCAAAACATGTAAGTATCTCCAGTGTGGCACAAAAGCAGCTTTTTATTGTTATTCAGTGACTTTGTATCCTTAATCATTACCAAAGCCAGTGTAAAGTTACTACCGCCTTTATGAAATCTCTGACCCTGCAGAGAAATGCATCAGTTATTAACCCGACCCCACTCACCATGGCACCCAGTTGCTCACATTCCTGGAGATCAGAGGGAGAAGCAATCGGGGCGGGATGAGGGATCCCCAGCAGGACCCCGCTCCTCGCAGCGGTGCCGTTTTCACACACAGCTGGGAAAGCCTGTGACAGCACTAACAAAGCCTGCAGACCAGGGGCACACAGCCATTGTGCTTTTTGCTGGATCACAGCCCTATTTTGTAATTTATTTGCTAAACTAATCCCAAACTGCTGAGTGTACACATTTGTTAACACATTTAGACCACATACTGTCAATGGAAGAGCTATTTGAGCTGTCAGCTGTATTTATTTACAGCTGTCAGCTCTAACACCCGGAGTGATTTATAGTATAACTTTTTGTTAAGTCTGTGGCTATGCAACTGACGGAAATGCTCAAAATAGTAACTAGAAATAGGCTTAACAAACCAAAAAGTAGGGCTATACAATGCTGAAGATACTATTCCTTACACCTATGTAATTTTTTTAATAAATTGAAAATCAGTCATAAAGTTGTTACTTATTTGCCTCTTGATGCAGGAGCTGTCCTGTCAAATTCCAAATGTACTTATGCAGCAGTTTAATTTTACATAATCATGGGCTAGGAATCACATTTCAAACTCGGGGTGATCTGATGCCACTTTGCAAATGTCAAGGTGTGGTGTTACTGCACATACAATTAAGAAGATGGGATGAAATTGGAACCACAATCGGAGTTCCTTCCTGCCCTGCTAATTTGTACATTAGGAATGTAATAATTTAATTGAATCTGTTATCACTTACTCGTTGTAGATCCTCACAAATACTTCCACCGAAAGCAATAACAAGTTGCAGATGAGGTTGCACTGAGCAGAATTACATTTTACAATCACTACACATATATTAATTCCTTTCCTAGGGAAAGTTTGGGACAGAAGCACCTTCCTTAGCAGTCATGAACTACAGCAAGTATCCGCTGCCCAACCATACATGCCAACACAATATATCCCTTGCAACAGAATCTGTATTACAGCAGCTAACAGGCACCCCAGTCACAGACCAGGATCTCCATTGTGTTAAGTCCTGAGAAAACACACACCTGCAGGTTTAACACAACACAAGCCAGAATTCAGAGTCACTGCAGTTTCATAATTTCTTCAGCAAGAAATTAACTAATTTTACTATCAGCACTACCAATTTAAGAATGTCCATGTTTTGCATTAAGCGAGTAGTAGAAAGAAATTAACTTCCCCTCTGGCCTGCAGCCCTGATCACGCCCCACGGGATAGCACAAATCAGGGGAGACTTTGCTGTTTTTATTTGATATATTCATTCCAGACTGGATGCTCCCAGAAATTGTCCCGTCTGTGTTGCAGCCTTCAAACAGCCTGTGACTCTGACAGGCTGACCTACACACACTGCTGAATTTTAACTCCCAGCTGTAGGAAGCGAGAATTACTGTATTTGGATGCCTCATCCCAACATATTTGGCTTGATCCTCACTCAGCCCCTGCTCAGGGAGACCCTGCGGAGCCCAGCGCAGCAGGACCTTCCTCCATGCTGCTTTCTTCTGCTGGCGAGAGGCACAAGTCACTTTCGCCCTGGCCTCTCTGAAAACACCCCCATTATAAATCAAATTCTCTCTGCAGCTTTGGAAAGGTTTCCTACAGCTGCCGGAGACCTGACTGGCACTGACTGGCAACGCTCTGTCTGCTGCGATGGCCCAGCCCACACCACACGAGGTGCTGCTCAGCTCTTCAGAGGTTTGGGGTAAGCGCCACACGTGCAGGTAGGAAAGGTGACACCCAAAGTGGCAATGAGCTCTATGTCCACGGAAAGGGATTCTGCACACATACTACATTCACAGGAATTCACATATATGAACTTCCTGCTTAACCAGCCTGAGAGGGCCTCGGCACGGCTGCTCACCAGGCCTCACAACCAGCCAGCCAGCACCTCCATTTTGTGCCTCACAGGAAGCAGCTCCCGCCATTTTGTGCCTCCCCTCCCTCAGGCAGGTAATGAGGGTGTGCGGCCGTGGCGAGGCAGGTCTGCAGGCCGACTCCACCAGCCCAGGGGGGAAGAGTGGTCATCTCTCTTGTTTACACCTCTCACTTTTGGAGTGCAGACATTAAATATTAAACTGCTGTAGTCTTACAGCATCCTGATTGCACACAGTGCTCCTACGGCACTGAACTGGGTTCTCAAGTCAGCCACCGACTGGGGAGGCTGGTGGGGGCTCTCTGGAACGGCTACAGCACTGACAGGAATATAAACTGAAATAATAATAAAAATGAACAATTAACAACTCAAGAAATGCTGTTTTCTTTCAGATTTAATCTGGTACGTTAAGAAAGCTTATGGGGACATTTTTCTAAATGACCTGGTGGAATGTTCAATTGTGTACTTTACACCTGACTTTGGTATTTATTTAAGCAATTATGTAAATTTAGTTTATTCGGGTTGCTAAAAGTCATACTCCTATAGAGAAGCAAAGGGATACGTCTCTTACCATATACCTGTTTTTACTTATAATTTAGTTCACACTGAATTTTGACTAAAATTGGAATTGAAAAGTAACAGAAACCCTGAGCACTTTGTTAAATGCCGCTATCTTAAATGTGCCAGAAAAAAACCCCACCGAAAAAATAATAATAATAAATGTATCTATTTATGGCGAGAGGATTACCTCCACTGAGTGATGCTGGACGACACTGCCTTCAACATACTCAAACTGGCAGATCTCCCTTTGGAGTCTCGGGTTTTAGCTCTAACGCTTTTCTACCTTTCTCCAGCCTCCGGGCAGCTCTGACCGACCCGCACCATGCCTGCCCTTCCCAAACGGGCTGCTGCGGCCCGATGGCGCTCAGCGGGGCAGCCCCCGGCCCGGGCACAGCCTCCCGCCGCGGGGAGGCCGGGGGTGCCCAGCCCTCCGCCGGCCCCGCCAGCCCCGTCCCGCCCCGGCCGCTGCCCTTCCTCCCCCGCCACGGGGGAGGCCGGGGGTGCCCAGCCCTCCGCCGGCCCCGCCAGCCCCGTCCCGCCCCGGCCGCTGCCCTTCCTCCCCCGCCACGGCGGGAGCGCTGCCGAGCGCAGCCCCGCCCCCGGCCCCGCCGAGCACTTCCGGCAGCGCCGTGCTCTTCCGGGGTCGGGGGGGGAAGGCGGAAGCGCGGAGGGGCCGGCGCCGGCGGAGGGCCGGGCGGCTCCCGATGGTGTGTGGCGGCGGCCGGCCCCAGGCGCGCTCGCTTCAGGCTCGGCATGGCGGCGGCGGGGGCAGCCGGCCAGGAGAAACAGCTCGCTCCGACCCTGCTCAGTTTCTTCATCTACAACCCCAAGCTAGGGCCCAAAGAGGGAGAGGTACCGGCGGGGGCTGCGGGGGGAGCGCTCCGAGCCGGCCTGGGGTGCCGCGGGGCCCGGGGCGGCTGTGTGGGCCCTGCCGCTCCTCCCCGGGCCGGAGCAGGGCGGGCGGCGGGTATCGGGCGGTACCGTGCGCCTGCGGGGGGGGCCGCCACAGCCGCTGCCGCAGAACGGCCCCAGGGCGCCCTCGGCAGCGGGGCCTGAGGCGCCGTAGTGGGGGGCCGGCCTGTTCCCCGCTGTCTGTTACCGGTGCGGGAACTTCTTCTGAAAAGAGTTTTCTGCGGGTAGATACAACGTGGTAGAAAGCTTAATGCTTAACTTAGTTCAATCTGGGTTATTGCTAGTATTTTCTTGCTATAGTGATCTTTGCTAAGTAAAATCAAGAAGCTGTAGTCTGTGTTGGGGTAAGAGCAGGTGGGATGGCTCACCTGGTAATCGGTGGTACCGGTTTCGCACAGGGCAGTTTTCCTCAGGCGCTCGGTGGTGACCGGGGTGATGGGCTGGAGCGTCCCCTCCTCCAGCCTGGGGGGCTGTGACAGGAGCAGGGCTGCTATCCGGGGGGACCCCCGGGAGCACAGAGACCTCATGGAGCCCAGCAGAGGCGAAGGCCCCATCCCGTGCCCCGTGAGGCGCTGGGGGCTGGTTGGGCAGCAGCCTGGCGAGACAGGCCCGGGAGCCCTCGTGCCCAGTGGGTCACTGGTGAATCGCGCCTGCCCTCGTGCCAGTGGAATCAGGAGTGTTCGGGTCTGTGTGCCGGGACACATGAGCCAGCCCAGGGAAGGGATTGCTCCCCTCCCTCAGCACTGGTGAGACTGGCACCGTGTCCTTCTGGGCTCCCCAGGACAGGAGAAATGCCCACAAACTGCAGCAAGTCTTGAGTGGGGTGGGTTGGGGGCCACAACCCGTGGTGGACCTGGAGAGCCTCAGGTGGCTGGATTTGTGCATCCTGAAGGAGAGGCAATGTGGAAAGGGATCAAGGGCTGTCTTCACGGTGGCTGTAGAAGAGCTTTGAGCAACCTGCTCTAGTGGGAGGTGTCCCTGCCCATGGCAGGGGGGTTGGAACTAGATGATCTTTAAGGGCCCTTCCAACCCAAACCACTCTATGATTCTAGGATGGAGTCAGGTTTTTCTAGAAGTGAAGGGGTGAGAGATAATGGAAGAAGCTCCAACAAAGGAAATTCTGATGAGATAGAAGAAAAAAAAATGTTCACAGTGAAGTGGTCAAACAACAGAATGGGGCCCAGAAAGGTTGTGGAAGCTACATCTTTGGAGATATTCAAAACTGGACTGGACAAGTCCTTGGGCAATGTGAGCTATTGATACTAGCCACCCTTTGGTCTGGCTTTGCAGCTTGCCTTGCTTTGAACCAGGTGCCAAGGGACATGGGTCTGTGATGTCAATAGCCTTCACTTTGTAAAGCATTTTGAGAGATCTTGGGATGACTGACTGCTCAAGTGTGCTTAAATATGCCTTTTATCTGTTCTTACAGAAGCCCATTTAGGTACAAGATAAAATTCTGCTTAGGAAATTAGGGGTTAAAGTTAAAAAACAAGCAGACCATGAACTCAGTATTCTTAAACTCTGATTCCATATACAATGTGTTTGCTTTGATTCTTTTTTCAAATCTTAGGAAGAAAAGAAGATTCTCTTCTATCACCCAAATGAAGTAGAAAAGAATGAAAAAATTAGAAACGTGGGACTATGCGAAGCTATAGTACAGTTCACAAGGTATGGACTCTGATTGCACGGCTCATTGCGTTAGCGCAAGCACCATATTTTAAATTTCCCAATCACGTGTTTTCTTCTTGTGTGTATAAATATCTCTGTCTACATATATGTTTTCTTTCCAGGACCTTTAGTCCAACAAAACCTGCAAAATCCCTGCATACACAGAAGAATAGACAATTTTTCCATGAACCTGAAGAAAACTTCTGGATGGTCATGGTACTTATGCATGTGATGTGCATATTTCTAAAGCATCGTATCGCAATGTTCTCAATGCATTCTGCATTGTCTAATACCAGCCTCTTCCACTTCCTAGGTTGTACGGAATCCCATAATAGAAAAACACAAAGATGGAAAGCCAGTCTACGAATATCAAGAAGAAGAATTACTGGTAATATTGAACTTTTTCCTTTTCTTTTTTTTTTTATGCATTACATTTGTATTTTAAGAGTTCCTCCAGAAATATCTTAGTTTGAGTCTTCTTGAACTGCTGCCAAATTGATTTTTATATATGTATATCTCCATACATTGAAAAGGGACAAAGTAGTTTTCCATAAATTGGTCCAAAATAAGCTCATGTTCACTGACAACTGCTCTGGGGAAGGGTAATACTTGTAACTGGTATCTTGTTTGTGAGTTAATGAGGCACTTTTGGTAAGGGGGGACTCCCTTTATTGGAAAACTACTTATTAAGTACAAAGACGTTTCCAGATGCTGATTGAAAATGCTATTGAACTTTGCAGAGATTGACTTTTCTAATTTGTGTGCTTGCTGGCTCTTCAAAAACATTATGTGTAGCTCAACCAAGATATTTGAAATTCCACCTCTGCCTATACTGATATCCTGCCCTCCTTTCTACAGGACAAGGTTTACAGTTCGGTGCTCCAGCAGTGCTACAGCATGTACAAGGTAGAGTTAACACTTGTGGGCAGAGGATGAGATCCTCAGGTACCTCTGGATGGGCTAGCTCATCAGGGCTTTGACGCTCTCCTCTCTACTATTGTCTGCTCTTCCTGAGGCTCTAATGGTGTTGATGAAAGAGAAAAATCCACCTTCTGCAATTACCTGTGCTGGTTCATTGTCTTATTGTAAAAATAAGAGCCTTCTAATTTCTGTCAAGTCACCATTTCTTCTTTCATGGGCAGTTCCACCACTAAGCATTTGATATTGATGGTGTTAGATATTATCTCTTGGAGGAACAATACTGGATAAAGGCCATCAATCCGGCTTTTAGAAAGCGAAAGCATAAGATACTTAAGTGATGGAGATAACTAAACTCTTTAATGGTAGAGAAATTATTTTCCTTTTCCATCTAATTCTGCCACTGCTGCCATAGATACTCTGCAAATTTGAGAGATGTTTTCAATAAAAAGGGGGTATGTTTGGATCTATGTGGAGCCCAAATACTGATAAACAGGAGCTGTGTTGTAATCTAGTTACATTCATGGCTGAGTTAGAAGAAATTGTTGTAAATTAATATCCAACTGACTGATTCTCTTTTAACTATTAGCTTTTCAATGGCACGTTCCTGAAAGCCATGGAAGATGGAGGTGTAAAAGTTCTAACTGAGAGACTAGAGAAATTCTTCCATCGGGTAAGACCTTATTTTTCAGGCACATAAGTTGCCTTTAAAAGATGTGCTTTAAAAGTGTCTGTCTGCCTCATTTTTCTTGCTTGCACAGAAGGAAACAGGGCTGCTGTCAGCAGCTAGTTCTCTTGTGGGAGAGATGAGAATATAGATATCTGATAACCATGGCATTTAAAATCTTGTTCTCTTGGCAGGCTTTTAAAATAACACAATATTGTGACAGTATAAACAAAAGCACAGTTCGATTGGATTTTGGGACAGCCTTTGCTTGTTTTTTGTAAGACTGTCAGACTTTAGAATGACCACTGTAGGCATAACAAGTGCCTGTTTGATTAGCTGATGTATACTTCTGTCTAGACTAAATTCAAAAATAGAGCTTGGCAAAAAAGGAAATAATGGATTTTTATTTTTAAAATGTTGTTTTACTTTGAAGTTCCTACTGAAGATAAAACAGTAATCGCTATAGATTTGTATAACAGAAAGAAATCCAATAAAAAGTTGTTTCTCTCTTTCGCTGGGGAATTAGAAATACTTGAAAAGTTTGGTCATGCAAGTTGTCCTGGCAAAACCCTACTGAACGGATTGGCTGCATGTTGCTGGCTGGCTTGGGCTGCACGGAAACTCTGAAAGGAAGTGAGACCTAGGTGATAAGTGTGGCAGATCTGCTGCACTGCTCAGCTGTGTTGTACTTACTGGGGTTTGTGGCAAGATGAAATGGCTGCAGAGGGAGCCATCGGGTAACTCATCCTTCACATAGCAGAGCGTTTGAGATCTCTTGCTAAAGGTTACAGTCTATTAAAAAAGAGAATAATAGAAATTATCTTTTCCCTTGCACATTGAAAACTAATGAATTTATCTGCTCATACTTCTATGGAATTAGTTCTGAAATTAAACATTGGTGAGACAGGCTGAGCATAAACAGTGTCTTCCTTCTATCTGGTCTCAATCTACCTTTGGAGATTTCCAAGACCCGCCTGGATGCAGTCCTGAGTAACATGCTCTGACAAGGCCTGGGTGGTCCTGCTTTAGCAGGGGAGTTGGACTAGATGATCTCTATGGTCCCTTCCAACTCTAAAAATTCAGTGAAATACCTTTTTTTAGTTTAAAGCCATTTACCCCTTGTCCTGTCGCTACAGGCCCTGCTAAAAAGTCTGTCCCCGCGTGAAGGAGTATGTTGTACAAGCAGAATTGGAAGGGGTGGGGTTTTTGGGATTGTGTAGATTACTGGGGTTAGATTCAAATTTGTCATTTAAATCTACACACAGGAAACTTTCTGAATTCTAAAAGCCAACTGTCATTATTCTCTTAGTACTTGCAGACGCTGCATTTACAGTCTTGTGATCTGCTGGATGTGTTCTGTGGAATCAGCTTCTTTCCACTGGATAAAATGACTTACTTGAAAATTCAGTCATTTATTAATAGGATGGAAGAAAGCCTGAGCATAGTCAAGTATACTGCATTTCTCTACAACGACCAGCTGATCTGGTAGGTACTTCAATAATTCTCTTGTGTCTTCTTACAAGAGTCTTCTCAGTCTATAAATAAGTGCCATAACAGCAAAGCTTCTGCAACAGTGAGAGAGTTGCATGAAAATGAGAAAATTGAATGGAAGGATGAGTCATATGTAAGAAAGGCATTGGTCTTTGACTAAAACCTCTAACCAGTACCAAACCGTCACCGCTAACTGGTGACGTCCAAGTTGGCCTGAGTAGCATTTGGAGACGTGTCCTTGTCATTCCCATCGCACAGAGGCTCTGCTTATACACAAGTTCCTCAGTAGGACTTTTTAGTAGAGAAGGTTCATTAAAGGATCACTCTTTGTGTGCTTCTGGACCTGGGAGTTGTAGTGGTTGTGAGGAATTCTACTTAGAAATGGACGTAAGAATAGCAAACCTCACCTTTGTTTAGATCTTGTTTCTGTTTCTATTCTGGTTTACAGCTAATTTATATGTGTTTTGTGTTTAGCAAATAAACTAACATTTTATTAAAATGAATGTTCTCGGAATGAATCTACTGGGACATCGAAACTGCTGCCCGTGTTCGGAATGTGCTTTCCCTGAGTTTTGGTTGGAGAAAACGCATGGTCTGAACTGCAGCACAAACACACCTCGTGGTGCTTTTTCTCCCTGTTGTAGGAGTGGACTGGAGCAAGATGACATGAGAATTTTGTACAAATATCTGACGACATCTCTGTTTCCAAGGCACATGGAGCCTGAGGTATAGGAGTTGAGGTTTTGGGTCTCGGGCGTGCATGTTGTGGTTGGGTTTGGTTGGGCTTTTTTCTTCCTTTTTTTTCGTTTATCTGGTACCACTAAGGGCTAAAGTGCCAAAGAGGAGTGTCTCTCCTCCCCTCCTAAATTTTACTTTAGGAATTCTGAGATTTATTGCTTTCAGGGCACTCTACTAAACTCAGTGGCATTTGCCCCTGACACTAAAATGTAAACTGTGCTGGGAATTTGAATGTGGGAGGGCGAGAGGGAGTTCACTGACGCGATACCCAATGAGTGCTCAGAGCTGTGAATGAATCACTTCAGTTCATGGCTAAACCTGTAAGGCCACGTGGAGTTGGTTATCCCTCCCCACATCAAAAAGCTCCATGAGCTGAGTTTTAAAATTACTAAATGCAAAATCAGAATGCCCTGTTCCATCGGCATCTCCTATACTTTAGCTTTACCTCCTCCATGTTACACAAAGAGTGCACATCTTCAAGTGGTAACTTCTGCAAATGCTTTGCTTTGATTTAAAGACAGCCCAAAAAAAGTAACAGAAAATACCTCTAAGTTCTTTTTTCTTGTGTATTCTTTTCCACTTCAGCTAGCGGGAAGAGATTCTCCAATACGTGCTGAAATGCCAGGGAATCTGCAACACTATGGAAGGTAAATCTTATTTGCTGTCTCCCTCTGCTGCTGCCTTCCTCAAGGGCAGAATGTTTGGGAGGAGAACGTGTGTTTTGAGGACATATTCCAACCAGGATTCATTCTGGAGGGTCACACCGTAGTTGGCGCAGTGTAAAACTTGACCTCTGGGGAAAAAAGAGGGAAGGCTTCATTAACATTACTGCATATTTATTTTTCTTCCCCACTGCTCTTAATGTACTGCATGAAAAATTTTGGAAGAGCTTCTGTCACTTCTTTTCAGCCAGGCACTGCAGACAAAGGTGTGGATTTATTCTCAGCACGTCAGAGCAGGCAATTCTGTACTTAAGCAGTTAAGCAACATTATTTTGAGTAATTGTGGGTTTAGACATATTTCTTTAATCATGATAATTGTTCTTGCCTGATTTATGGTATTCTTTTGGGATCAGGGTGCTGGCACGTGCTCCTTGTCCCTCCCCCCGCCCCAAGTTTAGGTGCTTCTGATACACTGCTGTTCTACACAAAACTAGTTCAAATGTGCTGCTGGAAAGCAAGAGAAGAGTATTTTTCCAGTAGCAACAAAAAAGGGGTTTTAGAGAGAGTCACAGCTTGAATGTGGAAAGAGTTTTGCTGCTGTTTCTTTGATCTGCACGGTTTATTTCCTTGGCGTTACTCTGGCTTCCTCGTGCTGGTTCTGTAACTCTGGAGCTCCAGGTGCAAATAATACTTTGCAAATGTGAAAGTGCTGAGATAATGTATCTCGGGCTCCCCGCCCATCTCGATGGCTGAAAACGTGTCATATTCAGGTACAGTCACACACGCAGGTCATTGCTAGTTTCAAAAACATCTGTTAAATAGCAAAAACTGAAATATAAGAATTCATCACATCTGACCTATGGAATTAATTTCTAGGTTTCTTACTGGACCTTTAAATCTTAATGATCCGGAAGCAAAATGCCGTTTCCCCAAAATATTTGTTAACACTGATGACACTTACGAAGAGCTTCATTTAATTGTTTATAAGGTATTACATTTTTCTTATTAGGAATCTATATACAATGGAGAAACAATGATGTGAAGCACTAAAGAATTGTATAAATGATGTGTTGATACAAGCAGTTTAAAGCAAAGAGACAGAAAACTCTCTGGTGTTTCCAGCTAGGAGCTGTAATGCCCGAAACCCTTTTCCCCCCCTCTTGTGCTCTCCCCAAAACACACAGTTGTTGGTTAAGAAAAAATATCACCCTTCAGGTACTTCAGGTGGTTTCTTACCTGGCTTTATGTAGCATTCATCAATAAAACGAAAAACTAATCTTTTTTTTTTAATGAAATGCAAGTTTCTTGCAGACACACATCCTTGCATGAAATGCCTTTTTAGCAAATTTTACCTACAACCTAAGTTGAGCAGGTATTAAAACAACTGCTACCAACCTACAACTTAAAACCTGCTACCAGGGCTGAGTGTTAAAATCACAGCTGTCCTGCATTGTGCAGGATTGCAGAGGGGTTATCCTGGTGATTACCTTTAAACTGGGTTGTTTTCTTGTTTTTGATTTAACTGGTTCAACTCTGTATGCTCTCGCTGAAGTATTGTCATTTATTTGAGGAAGTTGGGGTAACCTGTTGTAAATGGTTTTTTTGCTTTACCTTTTTTGTCGCAGGCCATGAGCGCAGCTGTCTGCTTTATGATTGATGGTAAGTACCTGTTAGCATCGCTTCATTAGCACAAAATGCTACCACATGCAACTTGTTTGACTCTTGAAAAATACTCATGTTAATTTGTTATTTGAGCCTGTTCTTCATGAGTGCTCTTGTCTCAGTCTTTGGATTTGTCTTCAGTGTAGAAGTAACTCAGTTTGCACAATGAAATGACTAAATGCTATTTTGGTTGCCATGCACCTTGGCAATCGTCCGTAAGGGTATAATTGAGAGAGAAACGTGTCCCAGGACTGATGTTTGATGAAAACAGCTACAGGAACTGTTCCCTGGAGGAAAATCTCACCTCTCCCCTTCTCTGCTCCCTAGCTTCCATCCCGCCCACGCTGGAGTTCTGCCGCAAACTGGACAGCATTGTCGGGCCCCAGCTCACGGTGCTGGCCTCGGACATCTGTGAGCAGTACAACATCAACAGGAGGATCTCCGGGTCCGTACCTCCCCGCTCCCCTCGCCATCCCTCATTAGCCACCTAAAAAGGAGGTTTAACAAACTGCTTAAATAATGGTAACGTGAGCCCAAACGTTCAAAGCATTGGGTTAACTGGGTACTTCAGACGATGGTTATCTGCCTTTCCACATCTTAAGCATTTATAAAGTGCCTGTTGTTGCATATTTAGTGCTCCCTGAAGTAACAACATACATGGTACTAACTTAGGAATGAATGTTTGTGTGGCTGTGGAAACCACCTTCCTCCATGTGCATAATCCTTGCACAAAAAATAATGCCAATGTTAAGGTAGATTTCACTACTTTCAGTTGCAGATCAGGCAGGTACAAGAGGTGGAACATGGAGGTTTTGCTTCTTTTATGGGTGAAGGGAAACTGGGGACCCATGGAGATGACGAGTCCTGGGGCTCCCTGAGCTGCAGAAACACAGAGTGGTGGCAAACCCCCCAGCTGGGGCGGTCGCCTTCTGGCACCATCCCGGAGTGGTGGAGAAGTAGCAGTTCCTGCAAACCCTTAACTTCCTGACTTCTCTTGAGCAACACTCACAAATAGCCCTCGGGCTAATAGAACGTTTTAGTTTAAATATCACTGGCTTTGTGCCCACATCCTTCCTTGGGCTGATTTCCTTTGACTTGCTGATACGTGGTATAATGTTAAAAAAAAGAGCTGTATTTTTCACATCAAAGGGACACTGAGGGCACCAGCTCTGTCCCAGGGCTGTCTTGGACACAAGGCATTGGGTGGGGTATGGAACTCCTCACTCCTGCCAATCCAAAAGGAAAAGGAAGGTCTGGATGCAACAACTACTTTTGTTTAACAGTTTGAGCTGGGGATTTCAGTAAGTGGGTTATTTGGCTCCAGTGCAAGCTGGAAAGTTGGGTACTTTTTTGAGAATTGCTGCTGCTTGAAGTGTTGCCATGTGTAGCAGGTTGTTCTGGTTTGCAGGACTAGGGCAACTACTGGAGGGGGGAAATGTCAAGTGGGAAAGGATGTTAATGGTTTAGGAAACATACCTCACTTAGAGCTATGGCTGGCTGTCCCTCCAGTTGTGTTCATTTGTAGACAGATGTGTTTGCTGGGGAGCAAGAACAGCATCACCTGTGACAGCAAAAGAGGAATTAAACCAATGATGGGAGTGAATGAACTTACTGAGTGGTAGCTTAGGCAAATCAGAAGAATCGCACGGTACAGAACAGGGTGTTCTTGAAATTGTGCCAATCTACTAAATCATTAAACTCAGGGGGTTTTAATGTCAGCTGGGACTGGCTTCGGCAGCATTAACCCTTTTAAAGTTTAATGCCGTGGTGTCCTGCAAGAGATACAGTTCCTTGGCTCTGAGGGCCATGACAGGAGCAGGGGGTCCAGCTGCGTGTGGGGGCACCTGGTGGCATCATCTCCCCAACTGAATGATGCAGGGACAGAGGCACCAGCTGTGCTGCTCTGAGTCTGGGGTGACTTTCACCCAAACCACAGCTCTACGTGAGGGGTTTTGTGCTGGCTCAGTCGCAGAGGAGGTGGGGGTTTGACAGCAGTCTCTTGGTTGGCCCACACCAATGGGGGGGAGAGTTCTCTCTCCTGGTTGTAACAAAGAAAGACGCATGGGGGGTCACTCATTAATCGAGTTAGAGGCAGCATCCCTTCAAACCAGACTGGATGGGCACAGGGCAGCGCGGAAACCAACTGGGGACGGAGACAAACCTCATTAGAAAAACGCAGATACCTCTGGGAAGTGGGACGAGGCCTTCAGCCTCCCCAGGCTGTTCACCAGTAGCAGAGGGGAAAACTGGTTCCTTTTTTTTTTTTAAAAAAGGTAAGTGTTAAAATTATGTTTGCTCATGCCACAAGTCTTAACGAACTTGATCTCTTCAGTGGGCAGGCCACTCTGGGATGTCTGTGTAAGCTCTGTGCTGGCTCAGTGCCCTTCTCTGTGGTTTATAGAACGTGTCAGTGCTCACAAGTCACTCTTTTTCTTTCAAATCCCCCAGGGCTGAGAAGGAGCCTCAGTTTAAGTTCATCTATTTCAATCACATGAACCTGGCAGAGAAAAGCACCATCCACATGAGGAAAACACCCAGCGTGTCGCTCGCGTCTGTCCACCCTGACCTCATGAAGATTCTCGGTGACATCAACAGTGACTTCTCCAGGTAACGCTTAACTAGTCAAAAAAACAATTTTAAAAAATAATTTAAAGAAGGGCCAGGGCCTCTATCCAAGAAAATACCTGATCTCCTTGGAGGCTCAGAGTAGCTATAACAAGCTCCAGCTGCCTTTTATTGGGTCACTGTGTGGCAAACCCGAATCCTGTGAAGTGTCCCCAGACCCAAGTGGGGGTTTTCTGCAGAGCTTGGCTGAGGGACGCATTTGGGGCTACTCCCCTGGGGCTGCCCCTGTGCACAGCCACAGCCATCCAGCACACCTGCTGTCCTAATGATTACAGGTAAACCTGCTGAAAATGAACATGCTGCCACTCTCTTCACTCTCTAAAACTTCTTTCAGAGTTGACGAAGATGAGGAAATTATTGTGAAGGCAATGAGTGATTACTGGGTAGTTGGGAAAAAGTCTGACCAGCGAGAACTGTATGTCATCTTGAATCAAAAAAATGCAAATCTGATTGAAGTTAACGGTAAGGATTGTTTTCTATTACCTTTAAATGCAGTTACCACTAAAATGTACATCCCTGGAGAAGTAATAAAATCCATCTCGCAAGAAATCTAGAGAGGGATTGAGCTATGATAGATGAGGTGAGGTTTCAGTCTGCCTCCCCCCAGCTGCGCAAGAACAGCAGCAATACTCAGCAGAGATTCTTAATTATTAGTTAGCCATTCTTCCTCCTTCAAATAACAAGGAGAGCTGTGAGTTTAGTTTAGGAGAAACGAATGGAGTGTGTTACAGGTGAGAGATGAATGTGTGTCCACGTGAGCGGGGCTGTGTCTGTCAGTGACCCAGAGGAGGTCGCTCACAGGACCTCTGTCCCCTCTTTGCTCCGGGGCTGTCTCTTCCCTAACACTGCTCTTAACCAGACCAAGAGAAATGGCAGTTGGAGTCTCACTTGCAGCAATTTTAGGGCTCTCTGTTTTAATAGGAGGCAACACGCTCACATTCATACTTCTCCAAGCAGCAAACTCAACACCCCACTTACACTTCAGGCACCCAGAAAACAGCTCCTCTTCCAGTGAGGGGGAAAGGTCAGAGGTGACTCACCTTTCTCGTACTGAAGCCAGAACAAAACTAAGTGTATTTCTACATTAGAAACTCCTAGATTTTCTTCTGTTTGGGTTAAATGATATTCTTACTGATGATCCTCGTGGTTCCTGTGAAATACCATACTGACAGTGACAGATCTTATTTTTGCTTTTTTACAGAAGAAGTGAAGAAGCTTTGTGCAACACAGTTCAACAATATTTTCTTCTTGGATTGATCTGCAAAGGGCTGATTTATTGAAGAAGTCAATGTCAGACACTTGTTCAACATGAAAAGTTATTAGTCATATTATTGACTGGAATAATGACAATAGTAAAGCAATACTTGCTTTGTAAGAATCAAAATTTCTACTAAAATCTGTAAACTCTGATCATAAAAATTTTTAGATTTTAAAAATGTTTATGTGCAAACTAATTAAAAGCCAGTCTGAATTCATCTGTACCATTCCATTCTGATATCGTTACGTGAATATTTTACGGCAAAATTAAAACTAATAATTGTTACACTTTCAAGGGCATCTTTTTGTTTTCCTGTGGTCATTTACATCATCCTCACTTTCTGCTAATTTTCTAAGGGTGAAACTGGGTGGTAACAAAGGGCCCCTGGAGAAAGCCTGCCCTGGGCTGAGCCCTTCCCGCAGCTCCTGCCTCAGCCCCAGTTACAGCCTTTGTCCACCTCTTACATGTGTGTTTATGTGCAGTATTTCAGTCAAATAAATCATGTTTTGAGCAGAAACCATTTCACTGGGACTTATGTCATGACAAGATGCCACGTCTTGTATGGGCACTGAGGGAATTTTTAGGTACAAGTCAAATACTGACTTCTGCAATGGTTTTGTGTAAGGGGTTACACTCACGCAAATGCTCCCTTCTCCCTCCTGAGAGCAGACAGGTTCCCTCAAAAGCATATGCACAAGCCTGGCTGGTTAATTGCACTTGTATTTTAGACCTTACTGCACACGAAGCTTCAGAAGATTTATTTCTTCCTTCTCTTTTTGCCAGTAGGTGCCTTGGTGACGAGCGGGGGTGCTACAGTGGGTGCCTCTTCCTGCACGACGGGCTCCTCCACCTCCTTAAAATCCCCACTCCTGGAGTCAAGGGGTTTTTCTGCTGCAGCTGCTTCTTGCCTCTTTGCCTCTTCCGCTTCTCTTTCAGCAATAACTCTGTGTGAACAAAGTTTAGATTCACTCCACTGCAGAAGGGGCAGACAGACAGTGGCTGAGCACTGAGGCTCTAGTCACAGTACGGGTGGCAGGAACTGTCCCAGGGCACGGAAGCACAACTCAGAGCATGTAAAACAAGGTCTTAACTTTGTGCAGAGGGGGCTCCCGTGCCAGGGACCGAGCTCTGACCTGCAGGCAGCCCGCAGCCGTTACACCTGACAGTGACACGAGTTACATTCCGTTATTACACCTGGGTGAGGCTGATTTCCCCTTTACAATGCGCTGCGCGACTTTATTAACACACACGTCTCATTTTCAGTAGTTTGTTAGTAGAAGAGAGAACAGCACTTCAAGAGAAGATACAACACCCACTTTGCCAGCTCATCATCCTTGATCCTTCTCAGCTCGGCCAATTCCACATCCCGTACTCGATTGGCTTTTATTTTTTCCCTCAGCACTTTTTCATGCTGGTAGGCAGGAAAGAACTTTGCTGTGAAAAAGATCTGCACCTGATGCATCCACAGACTAAATTCCTCATCTTGTTCAGTTTTGGCTTCTTTTGGTTTATCTGCAACACGTAAATTAAATACGTTTATTTGTCAGGGCACCCCAGTTTCACTGCGGTGTTTGAGATGTGACACTCGCAGCATCTGGTGGCTGCGCGGCTTGGGAGGTGGCAACTGAGGACCTCTGATATGGTGTGAATGGGAACGGCCCTTCTCTGGGCTTCAGAGGGACCTGTCCTCAGGAACAGCATCGAAAGAACACCAAGTACCCGCTTTAGCCCTAGGGTAAATGTCTGCTGCAGTGACCTGATGACAGCTCAGTATCCAGGCTTCTGTGCCCAGGAGAAGGAACGTGGCCACCAAGAGAAGGGCACTGCAGGTTCCTGCGGCAACTGCCCAGCAACAGGCCAGGCCCATCTGCCGCTTCATTAACAACCTACCTTGTTTCAGATCCCTAACCCTTCAGCCATCAGGTTTCAGAGCTGATGCCTACACAGAGATCCCCATCTGCAGAAAGCACCCCCCAGGCACAACCCCCCGGCCGAGACCCGCTCATCACCAGGGGGATGGTGGCACCAGCCCCAGCACAGGAAAATGCTCTTCCCCATTTCTCTCTGCTGGCCTGACCTGACACTGGGCATCTCACCCCAGCTCACGGTGTCACACCGTTAATAATAATTCTTATATTAAATAACAGAAGCAAGAAATAGCAGTTAGATCTTTTGTTTGTCTAAGATGTTAAAAAAAAAAGAAGGGGCAGGCTTGTGGATTAGCTTCCCACAGTAAACACAAATTACAGCACACAGATGTCTGACAAGTAAAATGTGGCATTTTAAAATTGGGGAAACTATTTAAGTCAGTACTTAAATGTCTCATTTAATTTTTTTCATTAAAAAAAAATAAATTTAAACGTATTGTTTAAAAACCTCCCTCCAGAATTAATGTTCACTTACTGCCCTCTTGTGACAAGCATAAACCATTAAAATTTCACCATTCAAAAGCTACAAGGCATTTTTTTGTGTTAGTCTTAAAACAGCAGGATGGCTTTACCTGTCAGTTCCTTTGCTGGAGAGAAAGTGTGTTCTTTTTTTGCATCCCAGACGAACAATGACGGAACCTCTTTGATACCTCCATGAATTGTGTGAAATGAGAGAACAGTATCTGATATTGCAAAGAAAGAAAATTAAAATCACTCGGTCTGTAATTCTGTGCTTTAAGTATCTGATCTTCAGCACAAACAAATATAAATTGTGACCTGAATTACAGCTAGCCCTGTAGCTGAAATACTGCTCTGCTGATGAGAAGTTTATTCATGATGAAGGCAGAGCACAGAGTTCAGTCTCCTGTTTCTGTGCCCGTATGAGTGGGAGAAGAATTTCAGGAACAGGAAGAATTTAGAATTTAAAAGCCTTTGAATTACTTTTAAGGAAAATGTGATAGCTTCTAATTAAGAAGCACAAGGAGTTCAGGGATTTGGACTTGCCCAGCTGTGTACAGTGGGTGTGGAAAGCTAAACCTAAACCTTTGGCAGCTGCCCTCGGTAACAGCAAGATGTCCAGCTGCTGTGTATCCCCCTGGCAGCTGCAGGAGGGGCGACTCTCCTCTGGCCCTGCTGCCTACAGATGCTTCCGGTAACTGCGGTACTCACCCGGGAGAAATTCTGGACGAGAATGCCCTCTGTCCTCACAGGATCTCCATGCCTGGCAAGAGGTTTTAAATTCAGTTATGAAACACCTGGACTTGTGTTCTAATTAACAAGTGAAATCACATGTCCCTTGGAGTCACCCACACTCCCATCTCCAAAGTGGTCTGTCCACCCAATGCTCCTGCTATTATGCCTATTTTAAAACACTTAAATTGCAATAGTGTTTCACACTTTCAAGTATTAGCAAATTGGTGATAACACTTCATTTTGCCACCAAGCAGGGAAGGGGGGTTACCCTGTTCCCGAGCTTGGGAAAAACAAGTGCAGAGAATGAAAGCTCCTGTTCCTGTCTTCAGACACGTCCCTCTGTTCTTACACGTTGCTCTACACACTATGATTTAATCACTTCTGAGGAAACAATGAATTTCTATTCCTGACTAGAAATATACTCCAGGAATTACACTGAGTGAAAAGGAGAGAATTGAGAGTACATCCAAGAAGGATGCTCTGAAATCTCGCCAACTGTCATCCCAAGCATCTTCTGCAGCCTCATGATGCCGCTCTTTTCAGACAACTGACAATAAAAGTCAGGTCAAGCACAATTCTAAGTGTTGGTATTCTAAAAGTTGAGAAGTTTCCAAATTCTGTCTGATTTCCATGATTGCAGTACAAACCAATAATCCTTACTATCTTCCCCTGAGATGACAGGGGTAAAACAATCCATTTTTGTTCTTGGAATATGAAGAACCTCATTACAGTCATGCACTGGGTACAAAACTGTAAAGGTGGTGAAGGTGAAAAGTTTGCTGGAAGAATTCTGAAAAATGTGTTAGGGATTATATTGCAGTTGGCTTCCCCACTGCTTCTAAATCTCTCTGCCCACTTCTCACTCCCCAACTTGCAAATAAAGAGAAAACTGCAGCTTTATTCACTACTGTTTTAGTTAATGCAGAAGATACCACCCAATATTCGAAGTAACAACAACTGAGGGTCCATGTGGGAGCAGACTCTGTTAGCCATGGAAATGCACCACTGCTGGGCTCATACATGGATCCAGGAACACACTGTATTTAGAATTAGATGAAATTCCAGTCCCTTTCAAAACTTAAAACTACCTGAATTGCAAACCCTCTCCTCCATCTTTCAGCGTGGGCTTTTTACATACCTCGTATTTCTTTATTTTGTCTTGTGAGATGACAATTTTGCTTGAAGACAACCCCAAACAAGCAGAGAGCTCAGCTGCCTCGGAAACATCATCGGTTATGTCTGTATCAATCATACTTCTGCTGTAAGTGTACTAATAAAAAGTAGAAGAATTTTACATTCAATAAATCTTTAAATTAAGACTTTCTGTTAGTTTTGGAAAATCTGATTATTTTAACTGGACCATTTCACTGCGCACCTGCGTGAATGCTGGCAGTGATGCAAAGGAATGGGAACTGCCCAGAGAATGGGAAGTGGTGGTGTTCCCTGGCACTACTGGCTTAGACACTGTGAAACTGCCTGTTTGTGAATGCTCTTTGAATTAATACTTCCATCTTGTGCATAATTCCATAATTTCTATGTCATTCCTTCAACTGCCCCATGTATCTAAATTGCACCAGCATCACAGGCAGCATCTTACAACCTACAAAATCTTTATTCTGAAGTTCAGCAAGAAGAGAGCACAGCTGAACTGCTGGGAAACTGCAGGTCTTGTTACACACAACTGCCATTTCCACAGGGTCATTTTAGACACTCAACTTAAAGCAGAGGCATCTCTTCCACCAGTCCCAACCTGTCAATTCCCCTTTGGGCACCAAAGACCTGCAAGTACTTTCTGTGCATTTAGAGTTATCTAGGGAAATGTGCATGTGTGTTCAAACTGCCTGTACTGATGTTACAATCTAAGGTAGCTACAAACAGAAAAAGCAGAAGGACCCCATCAAATGACTGTTCATGCAAAAAGAGGAAATTGGTTTCTATGTTCACGAAACACAGACCATCTGCAGGTCCTGCCTTCCCCCTCTAAGAGGACATATAATAATATTTAACAGGTCTGCAGCAACTTTACCTGGGACAGAGAATATTGTGGGTACAGAGACGTGTTTGTGGTTCCCTTGGAGAGATTCTCAGTTCTAAAGCTGCTTATTTTCTGATAGTCACCGTCTACTTGCTCCTTAATCATATCACGGGTAACATACACCAAAGCACAATCCAGAAGAGCTTCAACAAATTCAAGAAAAACCAACTAGAGCAAAACAAACACAGTGATTAATTCATTCTTTTTTGCAAAATCCCTTCATTAACAGGCATATGTACCAGAGCAAGCAAAGAACTCAGAAGGGATTGTTTGTGAAGCCTCACTGGCCTCATTTATCTATTCAAACAACCCTGCTTCTGAAGAAAAACTGAAAACAGCCAAAGCTCAAAAAATTCAGCAGGTGATATACTGTGTTATGCCTTTGACAAGTCATATTGAAATAAAACACTGCACAGTTTTTGCTGTATCTGGAGCTACAAGAAATTTTTCTAATAAATAACACACAACTATTGCTATTACCTAAAATCTTTAATCACGTATGATGCTTCCAGACACCCTCAAAATGGGTATATAATGAATGCCTTAGTAAGACTTACACTGTGTGTTCAGTTTATCAGGCCCTGTTCAGAACAATGAATTCCATTATGTCATTCACAACGGACGGTCAGAGCAGGAGGTAACTCCTGAGGGGTGAAGGCCTCCACAGCCGGCCAGATGCCAGGTACCACCAGAGACTTCTGCCCTCACTACTCGACCTCGCCCAAGGGGCAGCACTTGCACATCAATGGCAGGTTTCTTGGATGGCCAGATTCTCAGGATCAGTGGGTTCACATCTTAATGACTGACCCACCTTCACATTTCCAGCGCACCCCTCGGCAGCGGGGAGCGCCGAGACTCACACATACACCCCGTCAGGAAACTGCCCCACGGACAGACCATCACTCGCAGCAGCCTCCCCGAAACACAGCGTCACCCTTCGGGATGAGCTGCTCGGTCAGGTGTGCCCAGAGGGTACTCAAAGGGCAAGGGAATAAGCAAAACACCCAAGTACATCAGCTAAACTAGAAGGTACAGGCAGAATGGAGGAAGGCAAAAACAGATACTCAAGACTGGACTCTATTTTTTTGGAATAAATTACTTAATTTGCCTCCTGTTCTAGCAGATAGGGCAGTATTTGCAGCATTTTAAAAAAGTAATTTGAATTGTTCCTGCAGCAATGAGCTGTGATAAGTTCTTTCCATACACACCTCCTGCTCCAGGTTGGCACTACTGCTGTCACGGAGAGGACCGTCCTTGACAAGTATTTCCACAAGTCTTGAAGCAGTTAATTCTTTGCTGAGAAGTTTAAAATCCTAGGTAAGAGTAAATGTTACATGTTACCAGCACTTACCGAGTGCCCACACTAATCAAACTCCTTTTTTTTTTACAAAGTGCCTAATCAAACTCCCTTTAAAGCCTGCATCAAAACTTCAAGTCGTTTCAAATGACACTTCCACACAGGTAATTAGTGAGAGTGAAATTCTGGCCCTACTGAAGTCCATGGCAACGCTTCCTAAACTGCAAAAACAGTGTTAACAAAGAATTTGTGAAAGCTCATAATAAAAATATAAAAAATTACAAATTTGCCATCTGGTATCTTTATTAATTTTTTTTCATGATAAAAGGCTTGGATTTGAACAGTGACCCAGAACCCAGGCATATCAATGGAAATTGTTCCCTAGCTTCAGTGCAATCTTGATCTGTCCCTGAATTACTGAATTTTAGTATAGAACCTCATGTTCATCTTGCAGTATATTAAATTAATACATTATTAAAATCATTTATCCTGTTATTTCAAAAGCTGCCAGTCTTTGATTTCTACCAATAAGACATTTTTGTATATATATTTTACAGGATTGGAGGGGGCAGAGGGAGAAACAGCAAAAATATTTATAGTCCCTTAAAAAACGTCTGTCCAAGATTTGATTATTTGAAATGACTAACCACGAAATCAGAATTCAACCCTGCAGAAGAACTGTCCTGGCTTCAGCTGGGACAGAGTTAATTTTCTTTCTAATGGTTGCTAGTTTCAGGTTTGGTAGGAAAGGAGTAATATGATAAGTCAGTAATGTACATTGGTTTGGTTACCGCCAGGTGATGTTTGTATTTTTCAAGGACCCTTTTCAGCTTCCCACAGAAGCTAAGAAGGAGCATAAAGAGAACAATGGAGCAGCCAATGGAATATTCTGTACCACAGACTTTGTGCTCGGTACATAAATGAGGGTTGGCTGGGGGGCCAGAATCCATGGTCACTGCTCAGGATCAATTCACCAGGTGGTGAGAGTGACTTGTGTCATTATTTTTATTGTATTTTCCTTTCCTGTTACTGTTTCTATTGAACTGTCTTTATCTCTACCCACCAGGCTTTTTCCTTTCCCTTCCCCTCCTCTTCTCCCTGCCCTTCTGGAGGAAGGGGGAGAGCTGCGCCGGTGGACGGTGGTCCCCGCTGCCAGCTGGGTTAAACCATACTAAGTACATAAATAAATTCTGTTGAACAACTGTCCCTTTAACATTTGTTGGACAGTTTGTACAAATAACATCACTCCTATCTTTTTAACCATGCAGAAGCCACAGGCCATATTTTAAAATGCTGATATAAGCTGAACAAATAAAGCACATCTACTCACACACACAAAATGAAATAATTTAGATTATTACATTCAGCATCCAAAGGAAGTGCCTCATATTCATCGTAGGTTCGAATGGAGGTCTGGTACTCGGCCTACAAAAATCTCTGTAAATTTCCCAGCATTTGTTGACATAGCTCATGGCAAAAACTGTGTATCGTTCTTCCGAAAATAAGATACCTTTAAAAATTAATTGAGAAAAAAATACAGTTACAATAAAACTGTGATGTCTGTGGTACTAATTGGTGAATTCTGCCCGGTACAGAAGAAATACCATTACTTACCTTGGATACGGCAGGCAGCGGGAATAACGTTCCTGGACATCATTTCTAAGAAACACTTCTGCAGATAAGGACCTTTCTCTCTACAGTTGAAAGAAAAACACTCTTGTCTGGGAAGCCTCAAAGTGATTACACTGAAATAAATGTCACTAAGATGAAACTTACTTGTGCTCTTCATAATAGATACGAAATGCTAGCCAGACAAGGTAAGATAGAAATGTTCTGAACAGTAAAGTCTCATGTGGACAATGGATCTCCTCAAGTGGTGTTTTATCACCTAAAAATTTTGAAAAAAAAAATCTCTATTGTTATCACGTAAATTAAAATGCTTATAAGCATATTGACTCATCAGCCTTTCTTATCCTCTCCATCTCTACCCCCCACAGAGTAACAACACTCCTGGCAGAGCCAGGCCAGACTCAGCATCACCTCCGAACACAAGCAGGTGAAGGGAGAACTGCTCACCTAGAGCTGAATCATTAAAATTCTCTCTTTCTAGAATGCATCCACTCAGCACACAGAATGAAAGGGGAAGCCAAGTTGTGATTTTAATTTTGCATTTTCTCACTTAAGCACCCGAAGTGCTTGGAGAAGTGTTAATACATCCACTGAGAACTCAGGCACAGAGGTCCTCGCTCAGGGCACTTAGCTGCCAGAGCTGAGCTAGGGGTAGAACTTGCCACTCCAAATCTCCACAGTTCACTATTAAAACTCCTAGATTCCAGCCCCCATGGACAGAAATACAAACCGCTCAGTATCCGATCCATTTCGGCAAGAGTTATGTTGGATTGATGGAACTGACAGTCCTTCAGAAATCTCCAAAACTGGAGCTTTGTCATGAGGAAGGTGTTGTCAAGAGAATGATCACAGCCTAAGCTGCTGTAGAACGTGTAAATTCTTCTCAGTTCTGTAACATGCCTCAACACAGCAAATTCTACCTAAACAAAGCAGGATATGTTTTCAGCATCGTCTCACAGCAAGCAGGGATCAGCCTGTACTGCTCTGTAACGGGGCACAGAATGCTTTTATCTTGTAACTTCGAGGAGCATATCCCTGGTTAAATGCTCATGAGAACATTACTCAAATGTAGTTATAAGACACATTTTTTGGTGACTGATAAAATTAAGTCTCTGTCAGCAGATAAACCTCACAGTAGTTAAAGGAAGCTGATGAATGACATGTTAACATATTTTTTGTTGTTTTCTAGTGGAAGCTCAGAAAAGGGTAATACTGCCCATTCATTCTTTTTGCTTTTCTGTTTTCACAGCCTTCAGACTTTCGAATAGTTTACGAAAAGAGTTACTTTAGTACAAATAAACCAGAAATAAAAATAATATGACACACACCACGGGGGAAAACTGAAAATATCAAACAGTAGACTCTTACTTGTTTTGCTTCTTCATGTCTCTCTTCTGCTGGAAACAAGTCAAGCAGTGAAGATATATCCAACTCAATATTTGATCCCAGAACAGAAGTATTATCTGAGCCGTTCATGACTGTGATGTTTTCTACCATGCAAATAAAATAAATTAGAAAAAATTAAAATGAAGTTAAAAATATACACACACGCAGAGGGAAAATAAAGCATACATTATTCCTTCTTTTCTTACTGACTTCAAACTGAAAATAATAGACTCCTTTATAGCAAGAGTAGAGATTTCATAATCAACAGCAAAACAACTGAAGAGTAATTCTGTCCAATCCAACCCCTAGCCAAAAGGAAATGCAGATACTGTGTAAGTGAGGAAGCTTTCAGACACCAGTGTTCCAAAAGCATGACGAGGAGTAGTGTGGATGTGTCACTCACCTCACTGTCACACACAGGAAACAAGAAACAGGGGAGCAAAAGTCATTAATTGTTAAGGTAACTCCCATCTTCATCAAAGTTCTTTGAAGAAACATGTCTGGCTCTTGAGAAAGTGCAAACAGCTTCACATTACGGTAAAAAGGAACAACAAAATGTGAACTGAGTAGCATTTGTTTTCTTAAGCTGCTTACCAGTGCCAAAATTACCTCCTGGGCAAATGGCGCTCAGCTCCTCTGCATCCACTGCATCCACTTGAAAACCTGGATATTCTACTATACAGTCATTTACGAACTCTCCTTCATAAACATGACCATTCTTGAAGACAAACTTGCCCTACAGACAGATTTCAATATAAATTAAAGATCAGAAAAAATAACACTAATGCTCTCAATCAAATTTCCTTTTAAGAATCTTACCTAAAGTACAATATATGAGACAAAATAAAGTGAAATTATTTTTCCTACCCTCTTTTATAAAGTACTTTGTCATCTGTTAATTAAAGAACACTGTTGGAATGAAGAACTGCCTATGTATCTGTTTGATTTTGAAAAGTATTTTGAGGAAAAAAATATTCCCTCTCCTTATAGAAAGACTTATTTGCAATCTTTAGTTTGCAAACGTGGCACTCTGCTCACAGGTTTATTTTAGAACAGCCTGTTAACATGAGAACACCTCTGTGCGAGGATAGCTTGATACCCAGCAGCTCATAGTGTAAGAGTGAAAGTACTGACCAGCCACTGCAAAAATCAATATGCACTTACTGCATGGAAAACATCCCCAGTAAATCGTATTTCTTTATACAAACAAGACACTTCTAACCCCAGTGTCAAATCTGGGGCTCAGCAAGGTCCTTGGAAGGACTCCTACTGCTTTCGGTGGACTCTGCCCTTTACGTTGGGATTCCATCCACAATGCAAATGGTATGTAGTTCTCCATACAGAAATCTAGAGATCCACTATACAGAGCAGAACAGAACAGTCTCCTCTGGTGCTGTCTGCAGGTTTGTCTTACTGCTCCCCAGTACTCACCTTGCCGTGCTTCTTATTACAAAGCCATTCCCCATCGTACACGGCTCCACTGGCATATATGAACTTGCCACGTCCGTGCCGTTCCCCTTTTACAAAATCACCTATGTATTCATTCCTCAAAGCATACTGAGATGCAGGCATTCTCTTCAAAAACCATATGTGAGTCCCATATCCATGCTGAAAAAAAAATTGTGTGTTAAAAAACCCGAGAACATCTTGCTGAAGTCATATCTCAAGTAGTCACAAACATTTAACTTTTCAAACTTTTATTTTTATGAAAAAGGTTTCTGTTTTACATTAGAGAATTAAATTATCATTTTGTAAGACTAAGTCAAAAGCCTTTTAAGAGTTTGAATATTGCTAACATGAGAATCAACTTACAATAAACAGCATTATTTTCACTACCCCAACTGGCAAAAATCATACAAAGCTCTCTTGATCCTGCACAAAACTCCCCACCTGGTTTTACTGCAGTGACAGACAGATGCTGAACTACAGAGCTTATGGGGAGACATCAATACCTGCACACCATACACCCACTGTCCCATGTACTCCTGATTAGCTGTCAACCACCGCATCCTTCCTTTTCCATGACGTACATTTTTCTCCCACTGACCTTCATAGATATTTCCAGACTTATAGCTGCAAGAAAACAGCAGCAGTTAATGACTCGTTCACAGTAAATTCTAAGTGGATCTTATGAAAGCACGGTTTAGGCAAAATGTCACTGTTAATAAATTTAGCATTTATTAATGCTAAATATAACCATTAATTTGAAAGCTGGCTCAATGTAACATGGATAGAGAGGTTTGATTGTTAACCTATTTTTAACACTGCAAAAATATTAACCAGTTCTTTTTTTTCAGTCATCACCATAGCTAATAAAAATATTCTTTTATATATAATTCCACAAATAATTCAATTATTCATGAAAGCAGCTCCATCTGTTCAAATCAATCAAGTTTATTTGTTTTTAAATGTTGAATCGTGGTTCACCAAGGCTGATTTTGGATTTTGCCTTTAGACATTCTTTTGTGGGAATGATCAGCAGAAATATACCACATAAAAATGTAAGCTATAGAGAAGGTCTGTTTTATTATTATAAAGCACTTTGTACAACTATTTATTCCCCTGTAGAACGTACACACTACTGTGAAATGGCAGAATTTGTATTCATTTTAAACAGTGGGAGAAACTGAACAATACATGTAAAATAAAAAAATATGAAAATAAGAACAAGTGTTATCACATTTACCATCTCATCCCCCATCCTTCTTTGATGTTATTTACCCAGTCACCTGAATACCAAGAGGTACGTTGCTGATCATAATAAATGGTACCCTGAAACAAACAGTATAGTTAATTTAAATACCTAAATATTCATCTGCAATAATAAAAGATCACACACAAATTGTAAGACACATGGAATCACAGTTTTACATACAGCACTTTGAGACACTGTACTGAAAGCAGCTGAAGTGATAAAATGAAATTAAAAAAGCAAACTCTTTAGATGAATATTACTTAAGACATTAAAAAACCCCAAGTGTTCAAAAAAAATCATTTTGCACTAAGTCAAAGTTTATTATGTTTCTCAGACCACTTGAAATACTTTAAGTTGCCAAAGTCAGCTCTCTGAATCACAGCAGTCACCCCGAGGTAGACCAGTTTTCTGACTCATTCAGAATTCAATTTCCAACAGCAGGTCTACAGTGTTAATTGTTCTTTATCTGACAGCTTCCTCTCAGAACACATTGATGACCACCCACAACAGCCTGTCTGATTTTAGTGTCTCATCAGCGACACAGAACAAACCCCCATGTTATTAGGATGGATTTTCCTCACATGCTGAGCATCAGACTTCAAAATGTCAGGCCCAGAAGAGTGTCTCAATCCGGATGCACAGAACAGAGACAGATAAAAGCACTACCCGCCTTCAAAAAGTTGGAACTAGATGTTACTTACACTAGATAAAGCAGTCTTAATTGTAATTATCTTACTTGGTCTGCTTAACACACGTGGGAGGTGGGATCACTTCGCCATTCCTGGGAAGCTAATTGTTCTGTCATTGTTAGGTGGCTACTGATGCAGCCGTCAGTTTTGACTTTGTCACCATCTACTTGGAGCAGTGTAAAGGACAAATCACATAATACTCCAATTACTCTTTTTAGGATAGCCTTCATCTCTTCCACTACAAACAAGATCCCATCACAATTGTTTTAATTAGCATTCACAACTTCAGAGAAGATCCTTAGGAAAAACGGTCTCTACATAGCACAAGACCATGCAACGGCACAAAAGAGTCTTTGCCGTTCCAGAAGGTGGTCACCCAGGACCATGCTCCCCTTTGGTGTTCTCACTCACCTTTCCATGCCTTTTGCCTTCACACCAATAGCCAATGTAAGAAACAGGACGAGTACCACTTCTGAAAAATCCAAATCCATGCCTAACTCCATTCTTGACTGACCCTTCGTAAACGCTGCCATCGTTCCATGTGTAACAGCCATTAAACATCTGCACATTCTTAACAAATGTTCCCTAAAAGATTAAATGACAACATTTAAAAAAACTAAGACTCATTCCCCAGCTATCTGGGAGAAGTCAGGCTTGTGATTGAAATCACTGCCCATAGCTCTGCAGTTGCCATATTGTACCAATTACTACAACTTATCCACTTTCCTTGAATTTGCACATGTGTTCAGTTATAAATTAAACTGCACTTTACCTCATACTTCACTCCATCAGCCCATGTGTAAGTTCCATGTCCGTGCATGAGCCCGTCAGAAAACATACCCTTTAAAATGAAAAGAGCATCATTTGCAAATTTATTCTTACCACAACTGAAGCCTACAGCGACTGTAAGATTTGAAAATAATGACATAGGAATTCCCTTCTAACTACTAGTTTCAAATGAAGTTTTAAGGCCAGAAACCATCAGAGTTTTCAATGCTTACACATTCTAAGTGCTCAACTTCCATGTACATTAAAAGAAATAGCTTGCCAGTCCCAGAAAAAGAACTTGATCTACTACTACTTTTTTTTTTTTAATTTATATACTCACCTTATACGTATTTCCGCCCTCAAAATATGCAAATCCTTCACCCTCATACAATCCATTGACTTTTTCACCTTCATAGCTACAAGGAAAACAAGCTAAAATGAAGATTTCAAGTCACTGCCAGTAGACCAAATCACAACAGACATGTAATAAATTACCTTTGATTTACCACAGTCTACACACAGGCCAGATGTTGCATCTTGTGTAGAAAAATGAGCTACAACAAAATTTCCAATTTTTTGCACCTTCCTTTTAATATTTCACATAACTGTTGTGTTGCCTCAGACACATATTTCTTCTAATTAAGGAAACAAAGCACACTGGTAACATTTACTAGCTTACAACCAGGCAACCTGGCCAGTACGTGAAACATGACGTATAGTCCCCTTGAACTACCAAAGGATTTAGTTAACGCTGCCATTTGCCTGTATCTTCAGTTTTGGATATTCTGAAGGGATATGAACAGCCCTAAACATTAAAAGGCAGCAGCAACTGAACATTAAATGACAAAGCTACATTTTCTCCACTGTCTGTATACTTAGACAGAACTTCACTGTAGATGAACAAGCAAAACAAATGAGGCTTTTGGCAAGCAGAGGGCCCCAGCAACACGCAAGGACGCAGGAAGGCAACTGAATTCCATGGGCATCACTCTCATAAGGTGTCATGACCACTAGGTCTGAATAACCCGATTCATTGCCTCCAATCAAAAGTCAAATCCATGACACCGGGTACACCAGAGATACTTAAATGAGAATCCTTGACCTCATGGATGCATTTGTAACAAGCATACCTTTTTACAATAACTTCAGTAAGAAGAGGTTCCTTGTATTGAGGAACATCTGGGACTGGAGGCTCCTCTACCTTTTCTGGTTCTTTATGCGGTATGACTGGATTTGCCTGCGTTTCTTCCCCTTCGTTGACTAAGGTCTGCAAATCTGTCAGCTTTGTTGAACTACTCCCAGCTGTAGTATTTTGCGTGGGAATAGAAGAACGTGCTGATCTTTCTGTCTTCTTGCCTTCTTTCTTCTTGTCCTTTGCCATGGCTATTGAATTGTCTCAATGTGTATTTTCCCTCTGAACATTTACTGGCTTATGTAAAGATTGTTTCTCCTATAATCTGTTTGATAAAAAAAAAAGAACAACAGAACAGCTAACTACATGAAAAATTATCACTTTTTTCTTCCTGATTACACATGCATGTATTTTGGGTTCTCCCTGCAGTGATGGCTCCCCAAGGCCCTGGTCTCGGCTTGTGCCGGGCTAACAGGCAGCGGTGCCTGGGAAGGACCCCCACAAAGCCCATCCTCACCACCACCACACAACTGTTGTCCACGGACTCGCTTTTGCCACGCGGGGGTCTCCATCTTCACTAGCATGGTTTTAGGCATCTAGGCTTAATTGTGTGGAAAAGTTGAAGACGATTTCTCAGAAACGTGAGTTTGGTGAGTTTCTTGAAAGTTACAGCTGCACTAGTATTATTGATTTAACCTGCTTTCAAAGTTATGAGCTGCAGATTGAACCACAACATAGAATAACCACCATAGCTTATAAAAATAAAGTTACTTTGCCAGGTAAGAGCTACTTGAAAGCTACCAGACCGCTTGAACGGCTGTAACCCCAACTCCCACTCATTTCACTGCTGATGGTCGCTTCGTACCAGCAGCCCCGGGCCCGCCCGCCGCAGGGCTGGCAAGGGCGGCCTCGGCCACCCGCCATGTTCTCACCGCCGTTCGCCGCCGGTCAGCGCCTGGCTCCGCCGGGCAACCACAGCATCGCACCCGCGGGCAGGGCCCGGGCGGGCGACGGCATCCGGCTGCCGGCGGCCCTATGGCGGCCGTCACCACACCAACGGGACCGCCCCGCGCCGGGGGAGCGACCTGCCGCCGCCGGGCCCGCCCTGAGAAGAGGCCGCCCCTGCCCGCGTCCGGGCGGCATTACCTCCGCTTGGCACGGGAGCGGCGGGGGGGCCGGCGCCGGTCCGCCTTCGTAGAGTGGCCGGCGGGACGCGCCGGTAACCGGGGGTTGTGCGACCCCCAGGGACCGTTTACGGACGGCACCGGCCCCGCACGCCCCCTCAGGCGGGGCAGGCCCGAGCCCCCCTCACGGGCCCAGGCCCCGGCCCACCGCGGGGGCCTCTAACGCCCTCGGGAGGGCCGGGCCCCGGCGCACCCACTCAGGGTAAAGGCAAGGAGGGGCAACAACCAACACGGATCTCTGGGGTCAGACCCCGGTCCAACGGGCAAGGGAGAGCCTAGATAGTTGTTTGAATGGGTCTTTGACTCAAAAAGGACAATTTTCTAGCTATTTTGATTCTACGGAGACAGAACTTAGACTCACCTGATGGGCAGTGCCTGGTGAGACAGCTTTTTCCCATTCATTCTTAGAGATTCTTGAAAAAAATTGCTTGGAATATGGATGGGAACAATATTAATTAAAAGTAAATATGTCAGATGAATTATTCTATTCAAGCATTAAATACTGACGTCAGCAGGTTAATCATGAAATGCAATATTAATGCTTGAAGTAATTATCTAATGAAGCCCACCTTTAGTAAAAGTAAAAAAAAAAAAGTATTTTCACTTGTATATAGTTTACATTTTCTTTAAAATTATCATACACAGGATATATAAACATAGAAAGTGAATGTTCTGTGGCACTACTAAAGACTTAGATTCACATTCCACTTAATTTTAAGAATCAGCGTAGTTGTTACAAAAATGAAGTTCACCTACTCTTCACCTTTACGTATAAACATTTATATTTATTTTTTAAAAGTCTTGATTGCAAAAATAAGTAATACAGCACATAGCAATAAAAGAAATGTTATTTACACATGAATTCCAATATGTTGATATTGTTGACTTGATAGGAACAACAATGAAACCTTGCAGTTTGTTACCGTCTTCTCATCTTAAGGCTGGCTAAAATGTTTTTTACTCAAGAGAGTCATGATAAAAGCTCAAAATATTGCCAAGAATTAAAATTTTAAACATTAATAACAGAAACTGACTTATTCTGGTGAAATGAGGTCTAAACTGACTATGTGCCTCATGGTGGGCCTCCCGTGGGGGCAGTTCCAGGGGTGCTCGATCTCACCCATGTGGGTGATCAGTTTCCTCATTTCCTGCATATTCAGCGCAGTGCCAATCATCACCTGCAAGTAAATGCAAAAAACCACAATTATTATTTTCTTTCTCCACATTGTCACTGGCACAGGTAAGAGAGCACTTCAGCTGCTACAGTAAATAAATACTGTGCCAGGCGTTAGGAGCAGAAAGACCTAGATGATGACCAAAATGCAGCTAAGTATGTTCCTAAGTGCACTCTTTTGAAACAGAAACTACCAGAATTTTTTCACCCAAGTCGCACTAGACAAAACCACAAGGAACAAAATGAAGAATATTAGCTGTTGACACTCAGTGGTAAATAAGCTTCCCCTGCAGTACATATACATATATATACAGGTACAGGCACCTGTAACACCCCAGAAAAGGTGGTATTTATCAGACAGCAACCAGCAGGCACAGTACTCACAGACTTCCTGCAGGCTCGGGAAGCAAACATCTGCCTGACCCTGGAGGGCCTGCACATCACGCCAGGGCAGTCGCTCAGCATGAAGATCAGCTCGTCTATGTCTTGGGGACCAAATGTCCAGTTTTTGCTTGTTGGCAACGATACTAATTTAACTCTTTGCGTTACAGGAGCTGGAAGATTTGCAGTAATTAATAATGAAACAGAGCACATGAGAGAAAAATTAAGAAACTATTTTGATACATTAATATGATGTGATCTGCGTACATGCTAGGGTTTAAATTTAGTGTTTTGATGGATGTTATTGACTAACCATGGTGGTAACTATGGCAATTAACAAAAAAATTGCTTGCACACTTTAAAGCAGAAAGATCTACCTTCTGACAAACCCTTCCATTTCAAAGAACAAATGGTTTACAAAGCTATTTCGAGGTTATGTGACTACAAAATAATTAAACTTTTTTGTTGGTAAGAGATTGATAAATAAAAGCATTTTAGACAAAACCAATGGAGAGTCTGGAATGAAGAATATGGAAAAAATCTGTAGTGACTTCCCAAATAGCAAAGCGCTTTTATGATCCTCGCTGTACAAGGAAAACAAGGAGCTTGCAGGTTAGACAACTTGCTGCAAAGTACAGAGCAAGTCAATGCTAAAGCCGTAAGGAAAACCAAAGAACATCATTTACCAGTGATATCTATTCATTTAAAATTACTAGGTGTATCATTTGCATCTAGCCCTGCTGGAACCAGCAAGTGCACTAGAGTGAAATACCAGGATTTTAATGTAACACAGCCAGAAAATACATATCCAGTCACCGAGTCAGTGACTCCAAAGTCTTTGGAAACTTCTGCAAAAAAGCTGGCAAGATGAATATTCTACAATGTTCTATTAAAAACTGCAAAGAGACCACAGAATCATAAGTCTTAAAAAAAAACAAACCCACATAGCATAACGCATATTATGTCAAAGTTTCTGATAACTACCAAAAGGATTTTTGCTTAATGAAATGAAACCATTGAACTTCTTTTACTTCCAGTAATTCTGGCCCAAACTCACCATTTTCATTTATGACAAAATCAAACCCATTTTTTCTGAATATTTCCAGGTTTTCAATTAATACAGTTTCATTTACCGCTGTTAAATTGAGATTTTGAGGCCTGAAAGAGAGAGAGGAACACAGTATTGCACAGGTACGTAGAGCAGACCATTTTGGAAACAATCCAGAGATACTCACACAGAGGTCTAGTAAAACATTTAATGTCTCTGAGTTTAAAAAAAAAATCTCACTACTGAGCCAATCACTTCCACAGAATACAAAAATGCCTTCTGTCTTAAGTGTTTTGAAAGTGTGAAATGCTACATAAATAGAATCATACATATCCTTCCGAAACATTGAATTAAACTGCAAATTATTGTTAAGACACTGAAAATACTTACGCTATCAGCTTCTGACCTTGAAGAACGGTGTGTTGTTGTAACATCTCAAAGTTGTATTTCTCATCAGTAGCATGTTGGTCAATTATGAAGAGATCAGAATTCAACTTTGCTATTATAAACCCTAAATTGAACTGGCCAATTATTTCCATTTTTGCAAACATTTCTTTACTGTATATAGAAAACACAAACAGATCATAGATTACACATTACAGTTATCATGTTAGACTGTAAAACTTCACATCTTTTTCTCCCCTGCACAACATACTATACATTTAAAAACAAAATAATAAAAAAATCTCATTTAAGCAGGAAATGAATGTGAAAAAGCCAAATTATCTGGAACCCACCAGTGACTGATGAGGCTATTTCTGGCAGAACACAGTCCATCATTAAGACAGGACTCGTTCAGAATTCTCCCATCCAGGTGACAATGCCATTAGATTATCCAGGTGACACTGACATCCCTGGTGACAATGCCACAGAAACAGGCAGTACGGCGACAGCCCAAGTGACTAACACTGAAGGCAGCAGCACGGTGCCAAATCTATGATGTTTGTGACCTTCTGCTTAGTGTCTTTTTCCACATTCTGTTTGCACTTAGTTCAAACAGGTGCTCTGTCAGGTAAAATAACTTGTCAAATGGACATTTTAATGGCATAAGTTAAATAAAAGATATATCCAAAACTAACTGGTAGATGTAAGTCTCCTGCCCACACCCCCAAGACAAGTCTATTTTTCCTTATCTATTTCTATTAATTGATGAACACAATATGTTAAGAAGGTAAAAATACCTGATCTCTTTTCTTAATTCATCTTCTGCTACTTTATTTTCTCCAGGACTAATTTTTGCTTTAAATCTTCTGTAATTTTGTGTTTCTGTTCTTTTCTGTTGTTGCTGTATTACCTTTTTTACCTTTTCTGCTAAAACCTTCATAGAGAATTCAAGTGGCACAGTTTTCTTTTTAACTTCCACCAGTACATCAACACTGGGCATGTTGTTCCTGGCATTCTTCACTTCGGGACATTCACCTGCCTTGAACTCATCTGCATCACTTCTAGAGCTTCTGCTTTTAAAACATTTTACTCTTGAGGAAGTGCTATTGGCTTCTTGAGACAACTTACTTTGATTAGTCCAGTCATTCACTTGATTTAACTTCTGTTCAGTGCCCAAGACCTGAACATCACATTCCAATGATTTCTCACTACATCCGGTGGTTTCAAGACGTTCATTGTGAAGTTCTTCTTCAGGAGGACTAATTTCACGTTCACTACTGAAGCAGCTCCCAGCTTCTGGTGTACTACATCCAGCATCTGACTCAGAAGTGCTGCGGAATTCAGAATCTGCATTTTCTTCTAATTTTCTCAAATGTCTGCTTGGAATTGATCTCTTTGAGTCCATCTTACGACATCTCTGGGACTCCTTAGTCAAGGCAGCCTTTTGAGTCTTTACAGTACATAGAGCACTATCAAGTGACATTTGCCTAGGGGAGCTGTGCTGCTGTTTCACCCTTTTAGGGCTTCGAAAATTGCTCTCTGTTGTTTGATGGAGGGAGAATGACTCCCTTAATCTGGCAAGAGTCATTGTTCTTTTTCCTTCACCACTTGGATTTTCAGTCTCAGAGTCATGCAGCACTTCTACCTGAGGCTCTTCTGTCTCTTCAGGAGGCGTCTTCTTCAAGTTGCCTAATAAAACCAGAATAAGGAATATTTCAAGATTCGAAGTTAAATGGAAACATGAATTAAGTTATGGACTTTAGTAATGGGAATGAAAAGAGAGGTAGAAAAATAGCGAACTCCTCAAAGGAGGCCTAAAGCTTCACACAGTGACAGATGGGGTTGAAATGCATTAATATCCAACAGACTTGTATACAAACTTAATGATACTTGTGTGAGTGAATTTGTAATCTCTTTTTAAAGTGGAACAGCAGTCAGTCCCATCAGCACGTTTATTTATATTATCAGAAGTTTAATGACTGAGTGACAATGCAAAGTGAATTGCTCTTACACTTGGATGGTCACTATAGAAGCCTGTTGGCAAGGTGCTAGCTGGCACAACAGATACTCGTAGTATATGTGATTTGTAGATCAATAGGCAACTTCAGCCTTACAAATTGTCAGTGTGACATGTATTTTACTAAAGATTAATTTAAAATAACAGTAAGAATCAGGCTATAATTGAGTCTATGTCAGTAAAAAAGGAAACTAGAAAAGGTTCTGTTGAAAGAAATGAGGAGCATGAGGTGGTGTTAAGACAGAAATGGAATTTTGAAAGACTATACAGTCACAAGACAATCAGTAGTTTCTTACTTATCATAAAAGAATAAAAGTTCAAAATCGAATTAACTGAAATTTCAGATTTCATATATGAGACCTTGACCATTCTCTCTCATGGACATTTACATACAGGATCTCTTCCACTATCTTGGGAGAAATACTTTTCAAGCATTATCAATTAATTTTGTGTTATTTTTTTCCCCATAAAGTTGACTGTAAATCATGTTGTGCTGACGTGTAATTTCAAAAACAATCACTTCATAACTTGGGGTCCTCCTTTATTATTTGATGTCAGTAACAATTTTTCAATGTAAGCAATACATGAAAAATCTGCCCTGAATGGTATACCAATTAACAGCCAGACATTTTTTTCCATTTCTTCTGTGGCTTTTTGAAGACACATTTTTCCATTTTCAATTCTCTGTCATATATCATACACAGAACTGTCACATTTTGTATCCTACCTGCCATGTCCAGAAGTTTCTGATTGACATTCAGTTTGTTAACATCATTACCAAACATTTCCATCAGAGAAGTTTTTAAAATTGCTAATAAAAGCTTTTCCTCCTGAAGTAAAATTTGCCTTTTGTCTGGAGTTACATTGATGTCAACACACTCTAAAGAAAGAAAAACAACCACATTATAAATGAAAAACAGTAAGAAAAATTCCACCCTTGGATCAGTTTTCTGTCCTTTCACCCTCCATGTTTATTCCACAAGATTAAAACCAGAGCCACAGTTAACATTCACAGTGTGTCTGCAAATCACACTTTTAACCTTCTCAACATTCCAGCAAAAAGAACACAAGCTAATTCTGTGCAATAACACAATACAAGTTTTCTGGTGTTTAAGCTAAGCATAAGGTTGCCTTTTCCTCATTACATGAGATAAGAAGTTGCTTTTCAGTACAGAAAAGGTAGAGGGGGGGAAAAAAAGTGGAACCACAGCTAGAGCCAGCCTCTGCTTCACCAACCATAGATCCAAAAATTGCCACAGAGCACAGAGTCATACAGATAAAAGTTAACAACATTCTCTAAATAAATACAACTTACTCTTCAATGAGGTTTACAGACCTTATTGAAGTTACTGAAAATTACTCGTAACTTACCAGAATCTACACAAATGTTAAGGACAACAAATGGATACTGGTGTTTATTGTATAAGTGATAAACTTCATTCACCAGCTTGACAACCTGCAGAGAAGGTGAAGAAACAGTAAATGTCAATACTATTCTCTTCTATTTCCCACCAGTATGTTATTTAATCCCCTTCAAAACAATTAACGTATTAAATCATATCTTGTATGATTAGCTTTTGTTCACACAATAGACCCAATGAAAACAAAAACCTGAGACAAGAATTTGTAACATCAAGCCACAAACACGTATCAGCTACTAATCCAGTGGTTTTGGGAGAGCATCAAACGAGTTAGCACTGCTGGTGTTAGAGATACGAAAATCTCACCTTTGCTGGGTCACACGGCCGTTGGTTGATGAAGAAAAACTGTCTGTCTGTTGCACTCCTCCCAACACCGTGGTCACAACGAGAAATGAAGCCCGTAATGCTGTTGGATAAGAATACAGTAACACTAAGGTACAATGGAGGAGCAAAGGAAAATAAGTTTTTCTGACTGAGCATATTTAATGGAAGAGTATTTTATAAGGGGCTAAAAGAAACACTACTTTTGGGTTAAATTTTGGGTTATGGCAAAATGCCACTGGCAACAGTGGTTTGTACTCTTCTAATTACCTATAAAGATTTTGGGGCATGTCACAAGCCTTGAGTCCATATTCTTCGCAAACAGCTTCGTTAGGAGGCAGCTGAACAAAAGGGATAAGGCTCTGCAACTAAAAAAAAAAAAGAAAAGGAGTGAAACATTGAACATGTATAGATGTTTTCCTTCTATTTTATTGCTATTTGTTAGCCTTAAAATCTATTTGATAAAATGCTGGGCTTTTTCCAGTTGGCTGACCAAGTCAAATACTGAAAATACCCAAACCTACCAGAAGACAGTAGCTCTTCTTACTGAGAAACAGAAACAATGCCATAATGAATTATTTTTATAGCTATGATTTAGAAACCATTCCAGTCCAACCCCTCTACAGGGGCTGAATGCAATCCCATTTAGAGATTAACCAGATCATTAATGAAACATAGTTTCACAGTAAGAGGGTGCAAAAGCTAGAAACACGTCAGTTTTCTGCTCCCCAATTAAGACTTTCACGTCACACCATTTTTAGGATTTTTTAAATTGCTTCGTGACAGGCAGACCTTGGTACCCACACTGTTTTTCAAAAGCACAACCCTTCAGAGGCCGGCTGGCACAGCAGCTCATACAACTGGCCTCAGAGATATCACAGTGACCCTGTCTCCTAACTCCTTTCTCTTCCATCAGAGCATCTCTTCCACCAAAGCTAGAAGCGTTAATGCAACCTGGGGAAGCTGCACCGCTCCTCCTTTCCCAGCCTGCAGGCTGTGCCACACCTCAAGACGTGCTCCATCCCCTTGCAGTTTTTAAGGGCAAGTTATTAGATATTATAAATCTCTCTATACAGCTCTATTATCTCTCTTTTCAATAATAAAAGCAATACCTGTTTTTGCCCAAACACTGCTCCAATGTTCTCCTTTAAACTAGCACTTCCAGTAGTGGATACCACCGAGTTTTTTTTCCCCTGGCCAACTTGGTTGGTGCAGTTAATCCGCACTCCTTTTGAAACAATACAGTATGCCTGCAACAGCTGGACCATTTTTGCATATTCCTATTAAAGGAAAAAAGAAAGTTCACATTTATAAGAAATGTCTCTTTTTAAAACAAGAATGTATGAACAAAACATTCAATATTTGTAGGTAACACAAAAAGGGATGAGGGAGCGAGTTTAATATTTTTTAAAATCTTTACCAACTAAATGAAAAAAAAAAAAGTGAAAAATAGTGCTTTAAAAACAAACAGCATGTTTACAAGATTGATATTTAACCCTAACACAGCAGTCCCTGATTTTAAAACACACAAAAGTGACTATGATATTAGTTCTTCTCAAAATTTGAGAATGTCCCTCTAAAACCAATCACTGCAGAACAAACGAGGAAAGAATGCAGGAAGACTGTTTTCTTATTTGATGAAGATATAAGACAGGCACAAAAGAGTCTGACCTACAGGGAACAGAATATCATTCAGCAGTGAATAAATTCTGAGTTGTGAACGCTCATTTGAATTAATAACTTCTGATCTAACCTACCTTTTTAATGTTTCTTTGAAATTCCTTATGCCGCACTGGCAAAGTATAAAATAACTGCTGTATGTTAACAGTTGTTCCTTGTTGTCGTGGAAAAGGAGTTTTCTGAGTAATTTTACCATTGTGATCAAACACCAAACGAGTCCCAACCTTTGCTGACTTATGGCAGGTAAAAATGGTAACATCACTAATGGGAGGAGAGAGGCAACAGAATTACTCACTGAGCACTCTACTTTCTTACCCATTCCTCACAACCTAATCAGGCACAGAAACTACACCAATACTAGTCATTTAATTAAAACTAACTCTTCACCACAAACAACTAAAACCATACCCGAAGAGTAGTGTCACATTTCCCTAGCTGCAGCACATTGTTATGCTTCTCCTATAAAATGCAACATTCAAGTCTGGTTTTGTGGGACACTGCATTCCCCGTACTAATCCCTAACAGCAGAATATTCCTCATGCACAGAACCCTGTACCAAAGCTGTGCTATTTTCAATGTGTGATTGGTCTGGGAGGAGTTTAAACACAGTTTTAATGAGTTACAGCCTAGCAAACAGCACTTAGATATTACTGTGCTTTACATCAGAGGATCAAACACTTATGCACATACACAGTTCCACATTGTAAGATTTGAATACTTAAGTAATGCTAAATTTTGTACATAAAAGGACTAATCAGGTGCTTAGAATCATACACTAATTTCAGATGCTTAGAATCATTGAATAATTTTGGTTGGAAAGGACTTGGAGTGCAATGCGACCTACTTCTCAAAACTGATCTAACAATAAGGAACTGGAAGTCTCCAAACCCTCATTTTATCAATAACAATAAACCAAAAAGTTGGTTTCAGTTATTGTTGTCCACGTAAAAACTTTCTACTAATAAGAAGTTTAACATTAATACCTTAATGCACACAGTGAACTCAGAGCTTCACCTCGAAACCCAAATGTTTCAACACGTATTAGATCAGAAAAGTCTTGTATCTTTGACGTATAATGTTTCAGAGCTGGAAAAAGACATTTAAAATACAGATTTCACTTCAAAGTGACACTAGTCTAGATTTTGCATGCATATTAGGAAGCAAAAAAACTCCTATATTATTCATTGTATTTTACATAATTACTAGAGACACAATAATTAAATACTTAATGTTTCATTCCTCCTTTTCCTATACGCAAGATCTCTTTTAAAATCCTCAGATACACCCGTGATTCCATACTTTCACCCTGCAAGAAAGCCACTGTTGTGCTGTGCACGGTGTGTAGGGACTGGCGTGAGCCATGTCAGTTCACTTCCAGCAAATATTCAAGTTTATAATTCACCTCTCAAGAGCAGTCACTTTCACAAAGCTTGACTCCTTCAACAGTAGGTGATGACTCAACATGAACGAATCTAAATGAACGTTTATAGGACTTTCTCGTCTATGATTATTTCTATTCCTTGTTCCACTTAAGCAAGCAATCAAATAAAAGATTACTTGTGAGCTACAAGAACTATAACCACAATAGCACTACACAAGTCTCAACTAGTTTTGCCCAAGTCTTGCAGGTCACACAGGTATTATGTAAAAGCCGAGCATTCATTAAAAATTAATAGGAAACACAGGAAATTTGTTGGGTTGGTTGGTTGGTTGGCTTTTTTTAAAGTAGCTTTCTCACTGAAAATATGCCTTCAAAATGTCCAAATATAAATTATGAAAAAGGTTCAACTTACTCAAGCCTTCAAAGTTTTCCTCTTCCACTCCACCTCCATTGTCTGAAACCTCTATCAGTTCTGCTCCATGATCTTTAAGTTTTATATCTACAAAATTGATTAACAGTCTTTTAATTCTTTATGTTTATACACAGTACTCGGTATTCACTTGGTACTTGAAGTAACTTTACCAAATAATGGTTTTCCATATGAACAACAAAAAAATCCTTATAGCTGTCAGAAGTCAGGGCAATCTAAGGCAAACCAGCCTGAACGTGCAAGAAGTTCATCTTCATTGCACTTTTGCCTGAACAGAAGTTTTCCCAATTATAATAGTTATACTCCTGGCAGCTCTGGAAACTGCAGCCCTGCCTTACCTGCCTGCTAGCTTGATGCCAGCGGCCGGCAGAGCCTCATCAGCTCTGCTGTACGGGTGCATACCTTATTTAGTGGCAGAAAGGGCTACAAATAAAACACCACAGACAAAACCCTATGCTTCTAGCACCCCAGCTGGAGCCTGGGGATCAAAATGTTTTATTTATCCGAGGTGTAAAATCACTGCAAATGTGCTTCCGTAGATTTGCTATGATGCACACTGTTTTGAAGGAAAAAGAAGTACTCTGCAGGTGTATGGCACTGCGAGGAAACAGGTTACCGATGTTGGTAGCTCCAGCGTCCAGGCTGTTTTCCACCAGCTCCTTAACGGCAGTGCCGAGGCTGAGCACCACCTGTCCCGAGCAGATCCGATGGACGGACTTACGGTCGATGGGCCTGATGGCTGCGGCAGGCTGCGGGCTGCGGAGAGAGCGGCGGGAGCGTCACGGCGGGGAAAGCAGCGGCAGGGCTCGCCCGTTCCTCTGGGGAGGGCAGCCGGCACCCGAGGGCGAGAAGCACCGATACCCCGAGGGGCGCATCCAGAGGCCGCGCCGCCCCACAGGCCTCCCCGGGAGGGGAGGCGGGAACCGAGAGGCCAGCGGCGGCCGAGGAGGCCGCAACTGCAGCGGGACCAGAGCACGGCCCGCCGCGGCACAGCGAGGCCTCGAGCCGCCCGTGAGGGGGCGGCCCCGCCCGCCAGGCCCCACTCCAGCCGGCCCCACTCCAGCCCGGCCGAGCCCGCCCGCCGAGCCCGCTCCCGCCTCACCCTGGCACCGCCGCCTCCATCGGCACCGGGCGGCCCGTGCCGCGCTCGCCTCAGGCCCCCGGTCCCACAGGCCCCGCCCCCGTGCGGTCATTGGCCGCAGAATAACAGAGCCCGCCAGTCCGAAACCAATTTTCAACTCTGTTGGCACTGATTGGCCAATAGGGTTGTCCAATCAGAGCCGACAGCTGCAGCTTTTGCCTTATGGAGGCTCGCCTCACGAATCAATGGCTCGCGCTGGCCAATAGAAAGAAGCTGAGGAGGCGGTGCGACAGCCGCCGGCCAATAGGAAGAAGCTGAGGAGGCGGTGCGACGGCCGCCGGCCCGCATTGGCTTGCGGCTGAGTCAGTCAAGGCGCCGTGCTCCCGCCCTGCCCAATGGGCGCGGGGGGAGCGGGCCCGGCGCGCCGTGCGGGTGCCGCCATGCCCATGTACAAGGTGCGGCCCTTCCACGGGCCCGGTGCGGCGCCCGAGCAGCTGCCGACCTGCATGTACCGCCTGCCCAGCCTGCACCGCACCGCGCCGCCGCAGGTACGGGCCGGGGGCGCCGACGCACGGGGACGAGCCGCAGCGCTCACCCCGGCGGCCTGGGCCGCGCTGGCGGTGGAGCGGGCCGAGCGCCGGTTGGGCCCGGCCGCGCTGAGGCCGGTGCTGGCTCCGGCTCCGGAGGGGGCCCGGGAGAAGCCTCCGGCGGCGGGAGGTGGCGGGGGGCGCATCGCCGCGAACGCGTGGGAGCCCGTGGGAGGTGCTGGCCCTTCCCCTTGAGGGGTCACACGGGCTCGGCCTTTCCCGGAACCCCCCTCGGTGTTTTCCGCGCCCTCGATAATTCCCGGCCCGGGTCCCGCGGGGCCCTCCCGGTTCCTGCCGTAAAAGCCGGTGGCGGGCCCAGGCCGGGTCTGTTCTGGCCGGTGCCGTGCGGGCGGTGTGCGCCGGTCCCGGCCCTGCCGCAGGCTGTGAGCGGAGCCGGGCCGGGCACCGGGAACACTGTGGCGGCCCCCGGGCTGCTCCCGGCCCTTGGAGCGTGTGGGCCTCAAGGAGTGCTTTCATACGATGGTTTCCTACGATGCACCATCGTTTCATACGATGGTTTCCTACGATGCACCATCCGTCTCAGCGCGCGGGGGTTTGTTAACTAATGAATTGCCAAGAAGCTCCTTTCTCGGCAGCCCGGACGCGCCGTCAGCCGCCCTCCTGCGCCCGAGGGGATCCTGACACCCGGCTCGGGCTCTCAGGCTCTCATTCAGCACTGCTCTGCCAACTTCAAGGTTCCGTGGTTGGGGTCTGATTTTCACTACATTATGGAGATTGCTGTAGCTAGTGGTCTACAAAAAAAGGTATTAAGCAGGAAGATTTCAGAGATTTGATTAAATAACCCATCTCTCACCACATCCATCCAGACGAAAGCAAAGGGACAACTGATGGGCGCAAGACCGTGACGTTTCATGACATTCTGGTTCTTTGAATGTGTTTAAAGCCTTTCAAAACTTATTGTCAAGTGAGCTGTGGGCTGTTGTGACATTGAGCTGACTGAACGTATCTGTGACTTGTTTTTCCCTCTGCTGTAGGAAGAAGTTGACCCGTCGCTTCAAGCCCTTGAGTCCCGGCAGGAAGAGATCCTGAAACGCTTGTACGAACTGAAGAGCGCGGTCGATGGTCTCTCTAAGATGATACAAACCCCAGATGCTGATGTAGATGTAACTAATATCATTCAAACTGGTGACTGTTCTCCTTTGACAGCCAACGGAGCAGACTTAGATCTGATGCTTGGAAAGGTGAGTTCAATTGAGCACACAGAGGGACAGGGACCTCCTGTGCCCTCGACCCTCAGGGTTGGAAGGGTGGCATTAAAACCCGGGACACAACAGACACGCCTCAGCATTACAAATAACTTAAAACTGCCATTTTGTTTTGGGCATCCAGATTATAGCTACAAACATTTAAAAATACTAATCCTGTATGTTCTCATTTGGATATCAATTCGAGCTAGAATGGTTAATTGTGAAATTATGACTGTTTCTTTTTTGTTACTAACTGGAGATTTTAACTTAGGCTTCAGATAGAACTAGAATTCCCCTCAGTCATGTTCTTGAGTGATATCATTGTTGAAGGAAGTTGTTTAAATGTGTAAACAAGTTCTAAATGTCCCAACATGAATTATTTGACTGTTGTTAGCATTTCAGACACATACATAGCTCTGTGTGTGTGTTTTGGTGTCAAATGAAAACTCCACTGCTTCAAAGTCTGATCTGGAATGTGTCTTATCTGCCAAGTGTCTTACTTTCCACGCAGGATTATGGAGCCCTGAAAGATATTGTGATCAATGCAAATCCTTCTCTGCCTCCACTGTCACTGTTGGTACTACATAGCCTGCTTTGTGAACGCTATAAAATATTATCAGCTGTTCACACACACTCCTCAGTGAAAAGCGTGCCAGAAAACCTCCTGAAGTGCTTTGGAGAGCAGACCAAGAAGCAGCCCCGTCACGAGTATCAGCTGGGATTCACTCTAATTTGGAAGGATGGTAAGAATGAAGTTACCTTGTAGCTTGGTATTTTACAGTAGGTGAGAAAATGAAAGTTGTGCTATAAACCCTTGGGAACAGCTCCTTGGTGGGGTTGTGCTGACACGCGATGGACAGGTACCGCTCTCTACAGCTGTGAGCAACAAGGGGGACAGAGGGAGATTTTTGTTCATGGTAACTGCAGTTAAAATACATGTGGCATTCACAAGGGTGGTTGTACCCACAGGATATTTTTTTTATAGAAGTGTTTTTCAGTTTCTACAAATAAGTTTGCTAGAATAGAAATGAGGTGGGAGATTGGGCTGAAGCGTGCAAAAAGCGATCGCTTTATCCCAGGTTCCTGCCTTAGCCTAAGTACTTACACTAAGAAAACAGAATTGTTTATCAGGCTAACGATGTTTAACAGTGTTGCTGGCATCACAAGTCAAATACATCACAGATTACTGTTACATTAACTTCTCTACAGTGTGGTATTCACTTTTTTCTTCTCTTAATTTCAGTTCCCAAACCCCAGATGAAGTTTAGCATCCAGACCATGTGTCCTATCGAAGGGGAGGGGAACATCGCTAGGTTCCTCTTTTCCCTGTTTGGCCACAAGTACAGTGCAGTTACCTCCACGCTGATGGACAGCTGGGTGGACACAGCCCTCTTCCAGCTGAAGGAGGGCAGCAGCAAGGAGAGAGGAGCCGTCCTGCGCGCCATGAACGCTGCCCTGGGCAAGACGGCGTGGCTGGTGGGGAATGAACTCAGCGTGGCAGACGTGGTCGCCTGGTGCGCGCTCCAGCAGACGGGGAGCGCCAACGCTGCCCCAGCCAACGTGCAGAAATGGATGAAGTCGTGCGAGAACTTGGCACCTTTCAGCTCAGTGATGAAGCTGCTGAAATGAGCGTGTGCTCCTCAGAACAGGGTCGGGGTGATTTCATGCCTCCGGAGGTTCTTCGAGTCCCTCCTGAGATGTGTTTAAGTAGTACAGTTGGGCAGAGCACGAAAGTCAATAAAATCATTGCAGCTACTTTTGGGTGTGACCTTCCTTTTTGTGACTGATGTATAACATGCATGTTTGTTTAATGATTCTAAGGTATCTGAAGAAGTCCTATGGACAACACTCACTTTTAATTTTTCCTTGTATTTTTTTGTGTGTATTATTTACACAAGTTAAACTCTCCCCAGGCCAAGTGCAACAGGAATCCTTTCTGGTGACTGGGACTTTTGAACTAAGACAGAGAGATGAATACCTTTAAAGGACAGGGAAATCAAAATGCACTGAAATGTTTTTATGTAAAAAAATAAATGTTTTATGTAAGTTAGCACACATAGAGGTTAGTTCTTCCTGTAATTAAACAGGAGAACCTAGTCTCATACGTTCATCTTGTTCTTCAGAAAGCAGTCTTATCCTCTCTCTCAGCTTCTCTATTTCTTCCTCTTGCTGCCTCACCTTCTGCTGTAGGTTAGAAATAACCTGAAAGTGAGAGTCGGTTTAGCTCATTTATAGAGAGACAAGGAAAAGCCTTATTAACCTATTTGAATTGTGTTCCCAGTCTGCTACAGCCACATTCTGCAGCAACACTGCTATTCTGTGTATTTGTACTACAGCTTCAGCTGAGAAGTGTGGCAAAGAAAGAACACGACAGAAAGATTCTGCAGAGCTGATGATAAGATTCAAAAGTTTTTCTGAACTATAAAAATAGCTCCAGCTGTATGTAAATCAATTATAAAGTTACCTTATCCTTCATGACCATTTATCTCCTATTTCTAGAAACATTAATATAGTGGGCTAAATACTACAATCAGAAAAAACAGTCTCAATCACACAATCGTTTTAAGTTAAAAACAAAACATAAAAACTCGTAACACAGGCAGGGAAACAAAGGGCATTTCCTTTTTATATCTCTTTATCCTGTGAAGGCTGAGGTTATTGGCATAACTTACGTGTTCTGTGGTGTGGAACAGTTCACTCTCACGAAGCTGAGCAGCAGTTGGTCTTTCTGTGGATCTCTGGCTGGTGAGGAGTTTAACGTACTTGGCTTGAACAGGCCATTTTTTGTAGAAAGTATGAGGAATTTGGCCATTTCTTAATTGTGTAAGAACTTCTGTTCTCTCCATTTCTGTTCCAAATGGCTGGAAGAGTTCTAGCAGGATAACACCCATGCTGTACATGTCTGACTGGTAAGGGGGGGAAGAGAAAGTTCTGGCATAACTGGTATTTTTGATTACTCGCAGCATTTATTTTTCTCATTAAAATTTCATGATATGAAAAAGCTTCATGACAAGTTTCATGATAAGTAATGCAAATTCAAATCTATGTACATTCTTCAAAGTGATCTTAGATACGCAAATAATTTTTGTATTGGTAGCAAACTAGAAGGCAAAGTTGGAATCAACAAAAACATTAGGAGTAACAGTAGGAAGAGTATTTATTTACCAAATATTATGTATTTACCTACTGAAAGGCTTGTTTTAGTTTTACTATCTATCATCAGGTGTTAACAGAAAAAAAATACTCCCTACCTTGAAATCGTAGTGAGATCCCTGCAGTTGTTCCGGGGAGGCATAGAGGCAAGTCCCCACGCCTGAAGTATGCGTCAGTCCTTTAAAAAGGCAATTTAGAATTACACAGGTAGTGTTGACATAAGAATTTAATATTTAATGGTTTTAATATCATAGAAACCCCACAAAGCTTTTTATTTTGTTACCATTTATCCTTTCTGTCTTAAACCACTGGTCTGCATCATCCCAAAGAAGGTCTTTGCAGGCTAATCCAAAGTCTCCGATTTTGACATGATGATCTGACCCATACAGAAAGATGTTTCTGGGCTGCAAAAAAAAGACAGTATAAAATCTAAAATACATCTATATAAGTAATTACAAGATTTCACCTGTTTCAGTATCTATAAAATCCAGTGTTTCAGAGGTAACAGACAATTATTTAACACATTGATTAGTGATAGAGGAAAAAAAGTCATAGCCGATACCAAAGTATGTGTTTGCAACATCTGGGCAGAAAGACCATGGATGAAGGATCTAGAAAATGGGAAGAAACGTAGAACAGGAAAAACAAAGATTTAGTGGAAAGTACTTTGGTTTTTTTTCCCAGCAGAAAATGGGAAGTTTGCAGAACAGTAATGCTAATGGGAACAGGCAAGAGCAGACAGCAAATCAGACCAACTGATGTAGCAGGAAGGAGGACTAAGTATCATCTTTGGGCCAGACATAATGTAAAACAAAATATACTTTTCTGTATGATAAGCACAGCTGCAACACACTGCTTGTTCTGGCAAATTACTATGAAAAAACAAGCGATGAGAGACTTGAGTAGAGAGCACTGACTGGAAAAACTGAAAATTTTATCCATATATTTTGGGTTTAGGACCACTAAGGAGGAGAAATCCGAGATTATGTGCACATGTGACACACCTGAGGGACAGGATGTCATCCAGAGGGACCTGGATGGGCTGGAGAAGTGGGTCTGTGTGAACCTCATGGGGTTCAACAAGGCCAAGTGCAGGGTCCTGGCCCTGGGTCAGGGCAATCCCAGGCACAAATCCAAGCTGAAGGGAGAATGGCCCGAGAGCAGCCCTATAGCTTGAACATGTTGTCAGAAGCTGACTGATACGCTGTTAGCAAACTGAAGTGTGCTCATGGGGCTTTTCTTATTTTTATGATTACCTAAAATAGGTTTTTTTAAGTAATTGGCTAATTTAGGTCCTACCTTGTTTAAGGAAAGACCAAGACAAAACAAAACCAATCTGACAATCCCTGTTTAGGACCAGAAAATGCCTTCACAAAGGAGAAGATGTTTCCAGAGCTTAATCATAATTCACTTGTAAGTCAATTAAGTCAATGTAATTGACTACTATGCTTATAGTAAAGAAAGTGGCACTGGCATAGAGGAGACAATGCATTTTTTCAGATGTAACATAGCTAAATTCCTAAGAGTTTAAGTCATCTCAAATTTAACTACAAAGTTCCTTTCTTTCTCCCATAATGTAAGTTATCTTTGTTTTCCTTAACCTCAAGTAATAATTCAATGAGCTTACTTTAATGTCTCGATGCATCACTCCCACGCTGTGGATATAGCACACTCCTTCCAGTAACTCTTGAAAAATTTTCATCGTCCAGCGGACATCCACAAGATGGTATGGACCTTAAAACAATTAAGAATCTAAATTATTTCAGCTAATTCTACTGAGTGATTTAAGCTTATGGCGGTATGTCTTGTTGAATTCTGTTTATTTATGATGTGGAGGAATTTTTTAACAGAATGAGCCTAGTTTAAAAATGGAATTTCCCACGCTTCTCCTAAGATAGTTTTTTTGAAACAGCAAAGAGTCACTAACCTCAAAATTCCAAAAAGGAAAGTTCAGGGGACACAAAAATATGTCTGACTGAAAACACTGCTCCAAGCCCCACCAGATAGATATTTAATTAAGAAGTTAACAAACTCTTCACTTCCACATAAGTGCTGAATTTGATTGAAAAATACAGTTCCAGGTAAAATTATACTAATTTACGTAATGACATGTTTTCTGTATCGATTCGCACCTTTCCTTTTCAGATGCTAATCCTCTGCTGTTGCGCCACCCTCTGAAATCCCCAAGGCTCCTCTGGCTGTAGCTGTCCTAAAGGAACTTACCAGCTCATTGTTTTTACCATTTCCTATTTTATTATTTTATTAAACTACAGTATCTTCCTACTCTTAATGACCCACACCTAACATGTCTGTTGCGCCTTTTACTCGCCATTTACTCCTCCTCGTTTTCTGTTTCTCACTCTCTAACCCATGATTGCGTTCCCCTTTCCTCCCCTCTGAAAATATGTGAAAAGGGCTTTTTGTAAGGTCCAATGCCCCACTCATCCTGTCATTGCCTGACCAGGAATGTCATCTTCCAGCTTATGAAAGCTAAAAAGACTATGATTAGAGGAGAGATTAGTGGAAGTCAGCTGATAGTTAGCTGGTAAACCTTACCCCATGACTGAAGAGAGCAATGGATTTATCTTAGTAGTGATTAAAACTTAAGACTAAACATTAATCATACAGTTATGTCTTACAATCTGTTAAGCATATGCTTAACCCAAGAAAGAAACATGTCTCTAATGCTTTAAGAGCACTGCACTTGTACTTCCAAACGTCAGCCACTTTTGCAGATGGCTTGGTATGGGCATGAGAACGCTGTGGCCACTCAAGCAAAGCGAAGGTTAGATTCTTCAGACCAACGACAAATTAGCCTGTGTAGGAGTTTCGGTTCTTAAGAACAAACTTAAAAGCTTTTAAGTACTTTGCAACCTATCTGGAACAAAAGATGTATTTATATTTGCCACAGCAGATAAATTAGCCTGCGAAGACTGTGTTTTGTAGCAGCAAGACTACTACTACAGCAGAATTTCAATTATTTAAACAGCTTGCTGAGAAAGAGCAGATTCTGTCAATAAAAACCTCTAGTTGAAGTAAGTAGCATTGCCCAGGCACAGATCTCTCCAGGTAACAGCTCTGCCTCAGGCACACTTTCATTATTTTTGGAAGAGTTGTCTAAAACCCATGAACTTGAATCTCTTTTACCAACACCTATCATACGGAGATTCAATACGTAGCCACTATTTGATTAAGTGAATAAAGAATCTAACAGAGAGGATTCATATTTTAAGTTACTGAAGTAAAACATACATTCAGGCAAGTTGACATCCAATTAGGAAAAGTGAAACACTTGCTTTATAACGAGTATGAAAATTTTTATGACAGTGAAGAATCTTACTGGAAGTTTCCTCTGTTCTCTCATTGCATCTTTTATTACGGTCAACAATCCAATCCCACAGGGATATTTCACACAGCTGCATTTGTATATGAAGCATCAAGCGATACTCCACCTGACAGAAAAACAACAGTCCATGATTTTGCCACTGTAATATGAACAGTATTTTCTTAGTTATTTTATTTAAAGTTAATTAAAAAAATTGGTTTTTAAACTAAAAAAAAGGTTAGATACCAAAATGACATCAAATACAGTATTACTAATCTACTGCACTCAAGAAGCAGATGCAACAACACTGTCTAGTTTGGTTTTTTTTTTGCTTGTTCCTAAAATTTTAACAATTGCTGTATGATAAAAATCTAACAAAGTATCCAGCTATGTACCTTAATATTCAAATTCCAGTTCAAAAGCTTCTAGACCTACTGAACAGAGGTTCATTCTGGTTTAAGAAAATAGTGTAAATTAATATAAATTAGTAAAAAAAATAATCAACCTCTTGATATGGAATTTGATGATTTATTAACATGAATATGTCACTTTCTGATAATGTACTAGTTCACTTGCTAACCTGGGCAACTCAAGCAAACACCTCTAAAATCTTGCATTTCTTGCAAGAGGGAACTCCAAACAGCAGCCAGAGTGGGAACTCTCCAGAGCGGGCTGTGCTGTGCCGGCGGTTTGGAGACTCCCTGCGCAAATCCTGCCCTGCCCAGACAGCACCCAGACACTCCCATCAGTAATACCTGAATTAGCCATCATTAACGAATACTGAACATCTTCCAGTTTGATGGGTTTTTAGTCATTCACTTTGAAAGGACCCAAGACAACTAACACATGGAAGCTTTCTTGTACGCTGAGTTTTGCCAGCTCCTCTGCTCAGCTTCCTTGTAACCGTGTTACCCACTTCAGTGTAAATTATCTGGTTTTGGTTTCAATGGCAGTAATTTCCTTTTTTTTTTTTTTTTTTAAAATTAATACTATAAATCATTCCTCTGCCTACCAAACTCAACTCTACAAACATCATTAACTTAGACAGCAGTTAAGTATATCTAAAGATAACTGCATTTACCTCAAACTCTCCACAGAGAGCTACATCGTTCCTGGAGCATCCTTCAGCGCAGGACTTACTTGCAGTGCCTGCATCTTGAGCCAGACTGGAATGAGGTACCCGTGCCGAATGATTTTTCACATCAGTTGATCTACTGCTAACACTACTTACAGAGTCTTCTTGTAATTCTATGGATAATTCATCCCTTACATCCATGTTCTGCACTAATTCACCAAGTCTGGCACTGTCACAGGACTTCTTTTCTTGCGAAGTAAGGTCAGCAAAGATAATTGAACTGTCACTTTCCACGCTCTGAATGTGACAGCAATCACTGAAAATAATAAAGTATGAGAGAGAAGTCAAAATATGTACACAGTTTTATACCATCTATTTGTGACACACCATTCTGAAAACATATTTTTTTTTCCTCCAATTGCAAACTGCATTCCAGAGTAAGAGTTCAGCTGCTTCCCCACAGAAAACTCGAGGATTACGGGATTGGCAGCACAGGCTCCGGCCTTTTTAACGCCCTCCCCCAGCAGGGACCTGTGAGGGCTCAGACACACAGTGCCAGGACACAGCCCTGGTGGGACAGAGGAATGGTGCATCCCCATCCCCTTAAACTTCATCAGCAACACTGCATTTCTCACAGGGCCCTCATTGAGGGGGCCAATCGACACCCTGAGACAGAGGGCCCCATTGTCCCAACAGGACTCCAGCAGAAACCAGAGAGCCAAAGAAGGGAGAAGTACCCAGTAATTTTCTGCAGCTTACGCAACCAGAAGAGAAACAACAAGGATTATGGCTTTCTTTTTCATTATCATTTGGAAGCTAAAAAGCATTTGTGCAATATATGCTGAATTCTGTACTCTTAATACTGCTTTAAAAAAACCCCCTTATTAAAGCCAAGTAAGTGTTATCATTGAGACTTAAAATACTTACTTGCCACTCTCTTGCTCCAAAGATAACGGCTGCCACTCCATTACTGTTTTATCTACTGGATGAAAAGATAAATAAGGTATTTTACAAAACCAAGCATGCATGTATCTACTATAAATTAACACGTAGGCTACAGCTGCTTACTGAATATAACTTCATAACCTGTAGATAGCTTTTTCTCTATTTCTGCTCCAGCAAAAGGTGTTTCTTACCCTAATATGTTTTTCATTTTTCTTTAATTGAAAAGAAAATACATGTTGTACAAAGTCACTGAAAGGGTTGTACTGGGCTCTCTTACATATTCACCCAGATTTCACCTTTAAGAAGTTAGCATGTTCAAAATTAGGGTTTATAATGTATATGATAATACACCGTAAAAGAAGCACCTCCACAAGGCACCATCCTTCACATCACCCTGCTGCTGTTTTGAAGACACCTGATATTTCAGAAATAGTTTTCATTTAAACTGTATATTTATGTGAAAAAGCAGTTTGTTTTATGTGGGGTACTTTCCTTTTGGGTGGACTGTTTGAACCTGTTCCATCCAAGCAGTGTGGTAGCCCACAATATTAGGGTGCTGCAGCCCAGCCAGCACTTTTACTTCTCGTAGCACCTAAAAAGATGAAAAGGAAACAGTATGACTGCCCTTTATTCTGAGTGCTTAATAAACCCAAAAGATAACAAAACCCCGCAATTTCCGACAAAGAAAGAACACATAAAATTACTACACCAATGGAGAAAATTTGGAAGCTTTAAACAAATTATGATTTTCACAGTTGCAGAGATTACCAAAGTCAAGTTAATAATATGTTCTTTTAATGGACTTAAATACCTCTTATAACTTTTTTTTTTCCTAGGTATTGAGAGGGTCAAATCGTAAAAACTCAGAATGTGGAAAAAATTTTATTAATGTGTTTAATGTTTTGGGAAACAGCTGCATTACTAAATTAAATTGGAATCAGCTAGAGCAGACAGGGAGTTAAAACAGAGATGAAACACAGAAACAAGAATACCTTCATGCAATCTCTTCTTGTAGCCTTCTTAATGTTAATTTTTTTAATAGCATAGAATTGACCATCTAACTTGTTTCTGACCTGAAAACAATTGTAATAGGAAAAAATCAGTTGTTAATGTGCTTAGATTAATGAGTTATTAAATCCTTTAGAACCAACTATTTCCTAAAAATTAATTTCTGCACTCCATTCCAATAATCTTTCACCTGTATGAGAGAATGAAACTGGTATCAGGCCCCAGCTGTGTAAGATAAAGATACTCCACTTTTGCCTCCTTTCAGGACTGCAAACATCTAACCCAATCTTTGTGAAACACACAGCTTTACAGCTATCTTTCCATCAATAAAAAAATGCTGCTAGGTCCTGATAACTGCTTAAACAGGTTCTCAATAAATCTGTGAGAACACAACTGTCATTTACATATGGCACACACCACGCAGGGAACCTCAGGCTGGCCATATGGGCCAAGTATTTAATACAATTCAACACTGGGTTGGATAGTTTATATTCATATTAAGGCTACTTTTTTCCAAGCAGCCACGACTGGAACATTGCAGTGTGCAGACTCAGCTCCTGTGGCTGTTTAAGTCAATGTATCACAATACTTCACACAAGAAATAAGGAGGTTTTTGTTCACTTTAAAAAGGTCAGAATACATCAAGTAAAACTTTTGATATATCCTGCCTCCGACAAACAGAAAACAGAAACTGCAACTGAGCATCTTTTGAAATGAAATGCCAACACCCTTCACATGAGCGGATTTGCTCCTGTTCTATTGGAAAATCAGTGGGTTTGGTTTTATATTAGAAAAACAAACAGAACAGCCAAACCAGTAACTCTAAATGTCAAAGGAAAACCAGATATAAATTGATCAGTTATAAATGGAAGGTAAGGAATACCTTGTACACTTTTCCGTATCCTCCTTTTCCTAGCCTTGCAATCTCATCAAATTCATTCAAGTACCGTGAAGTCTGTGCTTCAAAGAGAACTTCTTTTTCCCTAATAAAAAAAAAGGCTGCATTAAACAAAATTACAATTTATAAGACAGGTATTATATAGGCTGCAGGTGTACACAATCCAGAAATACTATTTACATTATGAAAAGAAGCTGACAAGACTTTGACATTACCACAGTGAATACTGAAGAACAGCAGACTGCAGCAGCATGCATGTGTGCTACAAAGCCACACTCTGTGTTAGCAGAAGTACTAAGATGATCTCTTTAAATTTATGCCAGATAAAAAGCTGGTTTTTGAATGATGGCACTAACCGTGAGAACTGTACTGAAGAAGGAATTTTCCCCAGATCGTTTTGAGAGTTTGGAGAAATTTTCACTTTTTTTCTACATTTCAGAGCCAAAATATGAAATGCAGTATTAATTAAATTCAGAGTGGAGCAAGGGACTTTAGGGAGGGAATTGTTTAATATTTCTAAATGCTTTGAATACATACCCAATTGCATGAGAATCTCCATTATCAAGTTCCTACAAAAACAACAAAATCCAACATAAAAACATGCCATACAGAGTAACAGGTCTGCTGTGCCACCGGCACACAGCTCTACAGCAAAACAGAAACTGCAACTATGTTCTGAGAAGCAAACAAGGTTACTGAGAGCCCTTCATTCTGCAGAGAGCTTCACCAAATTAAAGTATTATTATCCCGCCAGTAATCTGCTAACATCTCTCTGCTGGAGAGATTACCGCCCTTTAGAGTTCTGCTGACAAACAGGATAAAATGAGGGGTTTAAAATGTGCTTAAGACAAAATTAACTAGCTTAGTTCAAGCAGCAAGATAAGCAAACAAGTCTAGTTGAGCCTGAAGTATGTTATGCAGTATACACATCATACCCTCCACTAACTAGGAGGGTGTTAACATAATCAACTCACTGTTGATTATGGTAACTGTTCATTAGAAATTGAAAATGGATGTCCCTCTTGCCAAAAAAAGGTGTAGCAATACCAAAAACACCTTGCCTGTGTTTATAAGTATTTTCACATTTGGCTTTTATTATTTAATAAGAAACAAAACACTGCTGGCTTCAAAAGCTTTGCTTTGCACCTGCAGAACCAGAACATGCTGTCCCCGACAGCTAAGGTAGAATGGGAGTACCGTTTTGTATAATTATTAAAAGATCCAATCCAATATTAAAAGACATCCCCCCTTTCCCCCCTAACAAAAGCTTCTTTGGATGCAATCATGTGTTAATTCCCCAATGCAGAGGTTGCCAAAGAAATTTAACAAAGCTTACCCCATTAAGTATTTGTCGATTAGCTGCTTTCATTAGTTCAGTAATGGCTCTATTATGCTGCAGTCTTACAGTACTAAATTCATCGCAGAAGGCAAAGGGGGAGAGCAGCCCTGTCCTCGTGAAAGCCTGACGAAGTACTGTGCAAAGGAACAGAGAAAGGTCACGTTAAATAAATCCTGCCAATAAGACCATGTAAACAGTTGTTGTTTCTCAAACCTGATTTAAAAGAAAGCGCATCTGAAAAACTGGTCACTCCTACTCTAGTGCCATTTCCCATACTCTTAGCAATAAAAACTAATTAAATCCAAACTAGAGCTGCTCTTTGGGAATCCCTTCACATAATACAGTTATTTGCCATGCCCTTCGTGGTCACAACTGCATCTCCTCTTCTCCGTATCTCAGCAGATGAGTCATACAAACATCCACCCATTCACTTACTTGGTGCCCTTGGACTAATTTTGACCAGTGAAAAGAGAAATCGAAAGCATGTCACAGCTACGAGGGCATGTTTATAATAAAAACTGGTAATGTCAAGATCTCCTAATTCACATACAAACTCACGCATTTCTACACATACTCATAGTAAGGAATTGAAGCCACCCCACATCCATCCCCTTCCTCAGCTGGAGTAAAACAATGCTGTGGCAGATAAAAAACTAACAAATACTGGAGATGGGCCCAACTGGCAAGATGCTACAAAAATGTACTTAGAAGTTTTAGGAGTTCCAAGGTCTTAAACTAAACTTGCTTGTAAGAGCGTTTGGGGTGGTTTTTGGTACCAGCATGTCTAAAATCAGCCTATTACTTATCTTTTAAAGCAGATAAAATTTATTGAAAGTGAACCTGTAAGAAATCAGGATTTTTGCTATACAAGCCTTATGGACACAGTTACACACACGGAAAAGTGGGAAAAAGCCAGCCTTGCCAGCATGAATATACCAGCCAAAACCACAAAACAGATATGATTACTGCAAGATGTTTTTCTGTTATTCATCAGGTTTATTCCACTTGGGAAGCTGGTTTAAGCTGTACCAACACAGGAACATCATTTTCCATAGAAGTACATTGGGAAGCCAAGAGCTACATACTTTGGAAGAGGCCCAGGTTGGGTTTTGGGTTTGGTTGGTTTTTTTTTTGTTCCTCTCCAAAAAGAGGAAACGTGGTTGGGTTTTTCCCCCCCAGTATTTTGGGGTTTCATAGAGAGAACAGTAAGAGCCAGGGTCAAACACCAATATCAGATTTTGAGAAAAAAAAATAAATTATAGTTGTGTGCACTGTTGTTACTGGATGCTACAAATGACTTCAATTTTAAGCAAGAGCAACGTATTAGATTTTATTTTCTACAATCACATATAGCAAGGAGAAAAACCTTGGAGATTGTTTCTCAAGCGCATTAAGTACGTGCCTAAATAAACAAAATACTCAAGATAAGTCACACATTAGACAGACAGGTTTCAAAGGAAACATTTCACACCTAAAAATGTGAGCTCCCTGAACTATATCAAAAGACTTTATGGGAAAATAAAGGACTTAGAAAGGTATTTACTCTGATTTTCACAGACCATAATTTTGAAAAATTTAGTGAAGACTGTGCTACAGCTATTTCTTGATAAATATTTTTATTAAATTTCACTCAGGATATTCATGCTGTTCTCAGAATTGCTCGTCCCAGTGGGATGAGACCTACAGCTCTGTCCTGACACTACGCTGGGACTCCAGAGAGCAGAGCCCGGTGAGGTTATTGGGGTGAGGCAGTTCAGGAGAGAGGAAAGAGCCGCTCGTACTAACTTCGGAAGAGGCACCTGGAGTGGACGGGGTTGTGGGTGTACATGTGGCAGAGATGCTCCAGCAGTGACACCAACAGCAACTGGTTTTGGATGGTGGAAGTGAAGTTCACAAACTTCTGCGACCCGTTGGCAATGCGCAGCTCGGCCGGCACGTCCGACTCTGAGGGGACAGGCAGGAGGGTGAGCCCAGGTCTCCATGTACCACCACCACACCCGCACAGCTCCAACACACCCCGGCTCGCACGCAGGCACCGCACGAGCTGCCACTGAGCGCTTTAAGGCACTAATTAGGAAAGTAATTATAATTAATTTTTCTAAGCGCACACAGAAAGCAGCTAGCCAGAGGGCCGAGGCCGGCCCCGCCAGCCCCCGCCGCCGGGCGAGGGGAAGCCGGGAGGGAATGGCGGCCGCTCTGCCCCCCGTCCCGTCCCGCCGCCCGGGAAGGGAAGCCCCGCAGCCGCCCCCGCGGCCCCTCTCACCGTCAAAGCGAGGCTCCGGGCTCTCCTCAGGAAACTCAATGGCGGGCCGTGGGGCCGCGGCCCTCGGCGGGAACCCGCCCCGCCACATGCCGGTCGCCGGCCTTCGCCCCGGCCGGCGGGGCCTGCCCGCCTCCCTGTGGGCGGCCCCGGGGCCGGGCCGGCGCTTATGGGCGCTCTTTGAGCGCGGAGAGATAAAACGTTAACCGGAGAGAGGCGGGCAGCG